TTTGGAGAAAATGAAGGAGGACAAAGACCGTATTGAAACCGAGAAGGACTGGGAGGACTTCAATAATGCCACTAACTGCTTCATTTGTGGAAACAAATTTGAGGAAGGAGAAAAGAAGTGTTGGGACCATTGCCACTTTACGGGGCAGTATAGAGGATGCGCCCACGAGGACTGCAATCTACGATTTAGTATGAGATATTATAAAATCCCTGTGTTTCTTCATAATCTTAAAAACTACGATGCCCACTTAATCATCAACAAGGCTCACGAACTGAACAAGAATTCTAAAATAGAATGTATCGCTCAGAACAGCGAAAAGTTTATAACCTTTGGTTTTAAAAATCTTTGTTTCAAGGACAGTTTCAGTTTCTTATCGTCTTCGTTGGATAAGTTGGTCAGGTTGAGTAAATATGAGGATGATAAAAAGCGTGAGAATTGGAAGAACAATTTCAGATACAGCGTTAGAAACCCGTATGTTAAAACCGATGAAGATTTGGATTTATTGACTGATAAGGGTATTTATCCCTATGACTACTTTGATGATTTTGAAAGATTTAAGGAAAGGGCTTTACCACCGAAAGAAGCGTTTTACAGTAAATTAAGTGAAGAACATGTAAGTGATAAAGATTATGAAAGGGCACTGAAAGTATGGAAGCACTTCGGGATTAGAACACTCGGGCAGTATCACGACTTGTATTTAAGAACTGATGTTTTACTACTGACCGATGTATTTGAAAACTTTAGAGACTTGTGTATGGAATACTACGGTTTAGACCCCGCTCATTATTATACGTTGCCAAATTTCGCATGGGACGCGATGCTTCTAAAAACTGGTGTTGAAATAGAACAATTGCATGACCAAGAAATGTTTGAGATGGTTGAAAAGGGAATGAGAGGTGGTATGTGTCAGGTAAGTCATAAATTAGCGGTGGCAAATAATAAGTATATGGGAGGAAGCATATGATGAGAACAAGCCATCAAATTATATTAGCTACTTGGATGCTAATAACTTGTATGGTTTAGCAATGTCCCAGAAATTACCGCTAAAAAATATCAATTGGGCAAAGAAAACGCCCAGTGTTGAAAAATGGAATGAAAACGATGAGTTCGGTTATATTATGGAAGTTGATTTGGAATATCCCGAAACATTGCACGATTTCCACTCTGACTATCCACTAGCGCCTGAAATAATGAATGTAAATGTGAATATGCTTTCTGACTATCAAAAGCAAGTCTTCAAAATATATTATGACGGTAAAAGTCCCAAGGACGAGAAAACAAGTAAGTTAATATTAAATCTAAAGGATAAAGAAAAATATGTGGTTCATATCAAGACTTTACAGTATTACTTGAAAATGGGATTGAAAATGGGTAAAGTCCATAGGATAATAAAGTTTCAACAGAGGGCTTGGTTGAAACCGTGGATTGATTTCAACACTGGTAAAAGGAAAGAAGCCAAAAGCGATTTTGAGAAAGATTTATTCAAATTAATGAATAACGCGGTGTACGGAAAAACCATGGAAGACAAACGAAATCATATGGACTTTGAATTAGTTGATAATGAGGTAAGATATGAAAAATGCGTTAATAATCCAACTTTCAAAAACAGATTTATTATAAATGAAAATCTGGTAGGAGTTGAAAAAACTAAAGCGAAACTGAAACTGGATAAACCCATTTTCTTAGGAATGAGCATTTTAGATTTAAGCAAACTACATATGTATAAGTTTTACTATGATGTATTGAAAAAGAAGTATAATGAAAACATCAAATTGATATATACTGATACTGACAGTTATGTAATTCAAACAATGACTGATGATGTCTATAAGGATTTCAATGAGATAAAGCAACACATGGATTTTAGCGACTATCCTGTTGAGCATCCATGTCATGACAAAACTAATAAAAAGGTCTTAGGAATGTTTAAGGACGAAGTGAATGGAAAAATCATTACTAAATTCATCGGATTGAAACCTAAATCTTATGCCTTCACAATTCATGGTGAGGATGATGAACATAAGAAATCAAAAGGTGTAGTCAAACACAAAGTGAAAAAAGAACTGTCGTATCAGAACTACCACGAAGCATTATTTCAAAACAAAAAGCATGAAATCACATATAACTTCATCAGAAGTAAGTCGCATCAAATATATTCAATGTCTCAAGTCAAGCAAAGTCTGAGTAATTATGAAAATAAAAGGTTTTATAGTGATGCTTTCACTTCATTACCATATGGGCATTATTCCATAAAATAATTATCTAGATAGTTCTAATAATATGAAATTATTAGAATTATTTTCAGGGACAGGCTCGGTTGGTCGGGTTGCTCGGGATTTGGGTTTTAGTGTTATTTCCCTTGATTTGAAAAATGCAAATATCAATACTGATATTTTGAGATATTCTCGTTTCTCTTGTCTTATAAGTATATTGGGTTTGGGATTGGGTTTGAAACTGGAAATGTGGGTTTGGGGATGAGGTTGAAACTGAACATATTGAAGTTTATGTGTTTGTTGGTTTTGGGGGAGTTGAGAAATGGGAGATTTGGTCCTTGTTTTGGTGGGATTGGGATAACAACAAAAGCAAAAGACCCACAATCCCTACCCGCTCCCTCAACCAAAACCTCATAGACGACAGTGTTGAAGGCGATGTTCTGAATGACGTCTCAACCTCAGGACAGAGCAAATGTGGGGAGCGGTGGGAGAAAAGGGGGTGGTGGTGGTGTTGGTGGTGGTGGTGTACCCCGATTTTGGGGTAAACCTTACCCCATTACCCCGATTTTGGGGTAGCCCTTACCCCTTACCCCAGCTTTGGGGTACCCCTTACCCCGTTTTTGGGGTAGACCTTACCCTTCTCTCAGTATAAACCTTACCCGTGCCCAGATTTCGGGGGTAGCCCTTACCCTGACTGAGGGGTAATCATCACACATATTTTTGTGGTGAAGATAAGAAGTAGAGCGTCATTACAATTTTATATTGGAAAAATTAGTTGAAGAAATAAAACAGACTATGAAACGAAACAAAATCATTACTATAGAACATATTACAATTGAAATTTATACATAACAGAAACAATGATTTCATGGTTTAATCATAATATTTAATTATAATATGGTTAAACATTGTTTTATAATCTAACAAGAAGGTTAAGACATTTAAATTAAACCTGAAACCCAGACCAGCCGACCAGCAACCCCTAGCCAAAACTACTTAAAGAAATATTACCTTATATATTAAGAGAAAAATGAGTAAGGGTAAAATGTCAGAGAATAATTTTATGGTTGTGAATTGCGCTAGCTTACCTGAAGGCTTAGTTTCAATCATCACTACTTACATTAATGGTAGTGAAGGGTGGCAAAGACTAAAACAGTGTAAAGCATTAAGGGTCTTACAAAGGAAATGGAAACCGTCTATTTACACTGAACGAGTAGGAGAAAGTAGATATTATGTTGAGATTCGCAATAAATGCTTAAAAGGTGATAAAGCGCTTTCATATGCGTTGAAACCACCAAAAGAATTATTAAGAATGATGAAGTATGATGAAGAAATACAGGTTGGAATAGAAGTTAGTTCGAAAATTATGTATCATAATAATATTAGCAACTGTCGTTCTTATTCATCATCTAAACAGAATAAGATTTCAAGTAGAGCGTCATTACAATACCATATTGAACAAGCAGTTGAAGAAACCAAACAGACTATGAAACGACACGAAATCATTACTATCGAACATGTTGCAATTGAAATTTATAGAAAACAGAAACAATGATTTCATGGCTTAATCATAATATTTAATTATAATATGATTAAACAGTGTAAACTTTTATAACCTTTCATTATACTGTAATTTCAACCTATAAAACATAACTAGACAATCACATAAAAATCACATAAAAAGAAGTTGTTAAGATATATTAAGAAATGGTTGTGAAGCAAACTATAATGAATAATTATGGAATGACAGAAGAAAAAGCAACAGAAGACTATGGTGAATTCTTCAAATGCAACAGATGCCTTTATGATAAAACAATTGATGAATTTGGAAATGTAAAAAGTGGAAGAAGATATAAATATTGTCAAGAGTGTAGAACAAAAATAAATAATTGTAGAGATAAACGTCAAAGAAACAAACGACCCACCAACACCCCAGAACTTGATAACTACTAAAAGGGCTACCTCTTTCAAATGAAAAAAATGTTTGCCCCCAGCCCAACAATGAACAAGGCGACAATTTACCCAAATGATTACCTTAACGAAAACGATAAATAAGCTCCCTAAAAACCCTCTTTTAAAAACGAATAAGGGGGAACATAGATTTGAGATGAACATAAAAACCAGAACAGGCAACCATCAACAGACCACCCCCCAGGCCCCCTACTTTCTCCATTTTTTGGGGGCGCCTAAAAAGGACACACCCAACTTCACCCATTGGGAGGCTTCGGATGCCCACGCCGCAGACATGTCGACTCAGATTTCCAATCCAAACCAAATATCTAATTCAGGTAGCACAGCCAGATCCCTTACCAGAGTCCGAGAAGTGAAGCCAGCAGATCCTCTACCAACAAAGTCGAAGTGAAGAAAGCTCGACTACCCAAAAAGTCCAGGGTTGGAACTTTTGGCAGGTTGGGGAAAAGACACACAGGTTGATCCCCTGCAATTAAACATGGAATCCAAAAACAAACCCCAGCCAGGGGAGATTGATTTCTGCCTCTGAGGGCATTTTGGGTTCCATGTGAATCTAGAAGGAAGGGATTGAGGTGTTCGGTGACCCAACACAAACAGAAAACAACCAAGCATCCGCCATCAGAAGACAAACACAAACCAACCAACCGCACAAACAACAAGAACCCTCCCCCCCAAAAACAACGACAAAAAAACAACAACATGAACCACCCCCCCCAAAAAAAAAGAAGAGAAGAAAAGAGAACAGAGCCAAAGGTCATGGCCAAAGCCGCACCACCAACCCGGGCAGAAGCCCTACACGCCGGAAAATCCCCGCGCCTGCATCGCCGGCTTCACCGACGGCAGCACCCGGGGCAACGTCCTCGCGCAGAGTTCGCTCCTTGGAGCGGATCCATCGATCGATCGATCCACGCCGGCGCCACAAAAAAAAATAAAAATAATTATAGACCAAGTCAGGGGAACCAACGGTTAGATCCGGTCTGTTCGCTTTGGGCAAGTGAGTCGGGGTAAAATTTCGGTTGCAGATTCAACCTCTGTTCACGGGAAGGACCCCCCAAACCCCACTCATTTTCGATTATATAATCTCCTTCTGGGACAAGGACCCGTTTTTGGGTTCCATGTTCATTTGTAGGGAAGCAGTTCCAGGTTCATTTAAACATTTGCAGAAGCATGTGTCTGAGGGATTTGGCTTGCGAGGGACAAGGTTTGGTTCGTCACCACTTCGCCGGCCAATCGCCCAAACGTTCCAGCGCAAACGGGGCCAGCCCAAAGATTGTCAAACACCCAAACGAATGTCAGCCAATAAAAGTCGCAACAGAGGTCAATTTATCTCAACTGAAAACATATCCGAAAAAGAAGGCCGACCTAAAGACCAAACAAGGGCTTTGCTTTAACGACTGCAAAACGGGGTCAACAAGCAGAAGGTCCACTGTCCAAAAAAATGCCACCCGCAAAGCGGCAAGTTGCTTTCATCCACAGAAATGGGTCAAACAAAGAAGGTCGACCGCTATTTTTCCCAACCGAACAAAGGAATCACACACGGTCAACCCAAAGAAGTCGAACAAGGATGCGCATTTCGTCCCAAAATGCCAAAACAGATCAAGGAAGCGCAACCAACAGATCCATTTGTCTATCCTGGCCTGAAAAAAGGCGGTCAAACTTGGTCAACCTTCAACCAGAAGCCCCTTTGCCTAGATCGGTTTCAGCATGGCATTTCGAGTCAGTTTCACTAATTGTTCCCTTGAAAAGTAGTGGGCAGTTAGTGAACATAGTGAACAGTAGTGAGGATTAATCAGGGAAAAGTGGTGAAAGTGAGTTGTTGCTACTGTTCACCAAATTTCATCCCACTAGTTGTGCACAATGCTTGCACTAAAAGCAATCATATTCTACATGGGCAAACACAAAGGCTTCTTCCCCATGGCACCTGAGGGGCTTTGAGACAATGATCTTCCAGGTGCCCTCCGGGAGGATTGAGGAATCAACCACGGGCTTGTGAACGAGGTTCCCAACGCCGAATCTGATGCATAGGGGGTCTGGACAATTGACCAAGCGATCCATCCACTTTTGGCGTCCTATGGAGCATAACACTTCGCGATTCAGCTCCCAGTGCACGTGTGACTGACCTGGTGCATAATCCTGTCACCCGACAAACCTGGCAGAACATGAATGGGGTTAACCACTTGGAGAGGGGAACCCCACCGAACAGAAAGGGAAGAATTGTCACGCCGGACTCGGCACCGTTTCCGCCTGAGAGCAGTTGGATGAGTGGGGTCATTCCAGCTCATGTCCTGTGGATGGTTGTGAAATCCATGTCGCACCACCTTTGAATCTATGGTTACAGCATGTTGAAGCCATGGTTTCGTGCTCTTGACGTTGGGGAATCGAATCAGACACCCTTTGGTTCTGAACGGTGCGAAATCGGTATGAACTTGAATACGGGACCTTTGGTGGGCATCACTTAGGTGGGGATTCATGCCCACCAATCACTTTTGAGGTGATTCCATGTTAAAACTCATGGCCAAAACAACTTCGCCAAGAAATTCCTGGGAAGCCATGGCTTGCGCTGAGGCGCTCAAAGACCATCGAGGCACCGATCTGCCATCGTGCAAGTAAGGATCCATTCTCCGCCTTGCCGAAAGCTCTCAATATAGGGAGTTTCCCTCTAAAATGGTCCTGTGTCCTGCTGGTTTCCCTTTAACACCACCAAAAAGAAAGCTTCTACCCTCAAATGAAGACAGCCGGAAATCCCAAAGAGTCCAATTCAGACGTGCGCAGAGCGCTGGACAACTGCCGCGATTGGACAGGAAAAACATATGCCCTGGGTTGCCCAAACCGATCCCCCGCTAAAAGTGAATAACTTTCAGTGGGTTTTTCTGGAAATCCAACCACTCACCACTAAAAGTTGCTAAAAAGCTAAGGAACCGGATGCCTGGGAGTCACCAAGATATGCAAGGACTGGCAATGTATATCAATGGTGCCGTATATCTTCGGCACCTGCAAGCCACCTGAACATGTGACCAATTTGATCGGTTTGACCCATTTTTAGTGGCGAACCCACCAAGCAGAAAGGGATTTCCAACTGAGATATTGGGGCTCCATCCCCCTGTCTTTGAAGGGAAATCAGGGACATATATCAAGAGCAATCCTTAGTGGATATGGACTCCCCTTGCTATATGCATAATACTTATCCACAATCAGGGGAACTGTGTTTCTGCTTCAAAAGGGTGCTCCAGAAATGGCTGGGTGGGGTTTTGCGGGTTCCATGGGGTGCACCCTCTCACAAGTGGATGGGCTTTCTGAAAGCCCATCCCAGTTGCCGTTGGCGGGGGTCCGACTCCGAAGGTAAAGACCACACTAATGTTGACACCGGATTCATAAAACTATAATATGTTTCTTCTGGTGGTGTTCCCCTGGAGAAGTGAATCCCCAGTACCCCATATTAAAATGTTTTTTACACTGCAGTTGGTGTTCCCCTACAGAAGTGAAATCTGAGTAATACCAGCCACCCCCCCCATTTTTTTTAAATGAACACTGCAGTGGTTTATTCACCCGGGCTCAAAGGGAAACAGTCTGAACTCGGCTCAGAACCTTCGGAAATTGGAAGCGAATCGCAGCCATGCGGGCCTTTACGGGAAAAAAACGGATGCCTCAACCAAGCGTCAACCGCAAAACTACGAGGGTAAAAAATCGGACATGTTGCTTGAGGGGTTGCCCTGAATGGTTGGGGACCCGGGAAAATCGCAACTCGAATTCGCTACTCCCAAGCACCGCGAACGAGAAGTTGGAGCCCTGAGTCAGACGGGTTGAACGATTCTGAGTTCAACTCGCCTACATATTGTTCCACCAAGGTCCTGTTCAGAACAGGACCAAGCGGGCAATATGGGAAGATATGACCCAGAGCCTGTAATGTCTGCTCCAAAAGGGAACCCAAAACTCTGGTTCGGGTCGGGTCTTTTGGATTTCTGCCCTCCCAACCAAAACTCGAAGCACTAGTTGGAGGGGTGCCCTTTGACTAGTGACTAGTTGGGGTACCCCCCTGTCTTTGGACATGGCAAACCTGAATATTTAGCCATGACAAGGGATGCTTCAAACCACCCAGGGGAAAATTATTCCCCGTCCCTCTGATTGGCGGGTTGGATGGGCGGTTTGGTGGTTAAAGAGCAGATTCCTATTTACCCTCTACAAGAACCAGGGGTTCAAGCCCAATCCAAAGCACCAATCCAAACCAATTATTAAAGTTACCTGAATTATGGGACTGCAGCGAGAAAAGCCAACCCCCCCTTTCGACTGGCTTTTCGCCGAAAAGAACTCATGGCGACGCCTCCCTGACCAGGAGGACCGGAAAGCGCTGGGCGCGCGTGGGGTTCCGGAACATCCACAGCAAGTCCTCGCGGTCTGCTTTCTCACGGCTGCTTCGATAGGTACAGTGGATGCCCAAATTGCAGGTAGGGAACGAGGGAAACCCTGTAAGTTCCAATGGTTTGTGGGTGACTTACTTGCCATGGGCACACTGTAAAAAAAGCCTTCTCAGGGGTTTTGGGAAACCAATCACCCACAAAACAAGCCGCTGGGCGCGAGCGACGTGGCACGTGCCCAAAGGACCTGGAAAACCGTGAACCTTTTGGAACCTTGACGGATGGCTGTGGCTCAAAATTTAAGAGTCAGGGGACGGCAGAGTCTACTTTTCCATTTGCCAGGGTTCCATTGTGGACTCTTATTTCTATTCCACATATGGACAAAATCAGGGAAACCAAAAGGTTAGATCCGGTGCAAGTGTCCTTGGCGAACAAGTTGCCATAGATGGTGCCGAAGACTTCGCCGACGGCTTGACCGTATCCTCACGCGGCCGATCTCTGGACCAACATGGGCGCGGGTCTTGAGGTGTTCTGCGTGTTTTCAAACGGTGTTGCAACAAAAGGCCCTAACCAAAACTGATCCAAAAAGCCCTCAACCAACCAACTCACACTGATGGACAGAATCCTGCAGTTGGTGTGGATGAAATTCGACAAGTGCGAACCTTTTGCTTGTTGAAAGGGAAGCCCAAATTGCCTCTTTGGGGCAAAAGGCTCTGTGGGAACTTTGCAAGCCAGGTCCCGGCTTCCGGATTTCCAAACGCCCAGGGACCCGGCAAGAGTGAACTTTGCGCTGGGAAAACGAAGGAACCTCAAAAGCGCAAAAGGAAAGCAGGTGAGTTGCATCTGGCAATGAACGACCAAGGGAAATGGGTGTATCTAGGGAGGTCATCCAAAATGCTCGAACTTGTTTGGTTTTGTCCCTTGATTCCCTTCTTTCAACAAACAAACGCCTCAACCCCAAATGGGTGTGTCTCAACATGCAAGGAATCCTGAAACATGCTTGTTTCGTTTCGGTTTGTCCCTCGACCAACCCAAAAATATGATTATGATTTTAACTTGGGACCCTTTGGTGGACTTCACTTAGGTGAAATTTATGTCTGCCAAGCACCTGCCAGGGTTTTGCCTGGCCATACATTAAACCCCTTTAATATCTACATCTGTAGACCTGCGCGAATGTTTCAGGGTCAGCTGCCCTAGTGGTACATGGTTGAGCCCTCGCACGAGGTGGAGGTAGCTCATATTCAGGGTCCCTGTCTCGGGGAATCGCTCCTTCGATCCTTTTTTGCCCGCCCCCTGACTGGATTCCAACAAACTGGAAGCCGGTGACGCTACGACTCAGAACCGTAATCTGCATCATCTAACGACTCAGAACCAACTTGGGTCATGCAAGATTTGTTGCACATGATGCCCTCCCTCAACTTCAAGGCACCCCCTGGCAGTTTTCATAAGGCTAAAGGGACCACAGGATTGGCTGGCCAATCAGAAGCATGAGTTCTGCTTGGGCTGAGGTTTCCTCTGGATCCGATGACTTGCCATCCGGATGTTTTACTTTTCTGCTACATGGTGCTTCAATGGAGGCAAGCGCCAAATGATAATTTATATGAATTTATCATGCTCATAAACGTGCTTGAGGGGTCTTCATGGGACATTGATGGCTTCCTCCGTTTCCCTTTTAACCTTCAGAAAGTGGCAATTCCAATGGACACCGCCAAGCAATTGCCACTTTTTTATGGGGAAATCGGAAATCCAGTCACTGAGATTCCAAAATGTGAGCTTCCGTTTCGATGGGGCGAGGTTTTGCTGGGGGAAGATGTTCGGAACCTTCTGGTCCCTACTTGTTTTTTCACAATCTAAAGGACAAATAAGAGGATGGAGCTTTTGCAGCCGGTTGGCTGTTGAGTTGCCATGCTTGGCCCTAAGCGCCCTGAAGCCTCCATGACAAGCTCCGTCGGGCTTTTGCTGATCGAGCATCTCTCCGTGACCACGTTGGTGAGCTTCTTCCACTGGTTCCTCACAAGACATTGGTGCGTCGCTCTTTTGATGGTACCCTTTCTGGGGAAACAAGCATGCCACTTTGAGACAACCTAGGGTGGATTCAAAGGGCAACAAAAAGGATACCACCATCTTTGAGGTCCCCCTATTTTGAGACAACCTACATAGTGCCAACTGATCCTTTGGCGTGTCAACCGGCAGGCTCAAGCCAAAACGATTTGAATGGCTGTTTTAGGGAGCCAATGTTAGCCGTGCAATACCCTTACATTTTGCTGGGTCAACGATGGAGCACATTTGAAAACGGGCAGCATGAATGCAATCCGCCACAAACTCTTGTAACCTATGGTTTGCCTCCCCCAAAAGAGCATGAGCGCAGATCGCGATCCAAAGATCTCAAGAAGACCAAACAAAAATTGGTGATTCTTGTCTGGGCCTGAGCCCCGTGGGAAAGTGAACTCTTGCCGGTTAAAAGTGAGAATGACACAACATTTAACAGATCTAAAACGTCATACATTTAAATCCAGGTCTGCCAATCTTTCCTCACCCGCTAAAATGACCTGTCAACAATGAGGTTACCGTTTGGGGTTTTGACTTGTGGGACGTGATTGGCAAACCAAGTGGTCGAAAGGAGAGCGATTTGCTGCTGAAACATCAACAGCACCAAAATAAAGCAAACAAAAACACCGGGGGGGACGGAAAATGGCCTCAAACAAGAGAAGCCAAGAACCGAAGCGCCCACCATGTGCCAGCCCTTTGCCTTTCGTTCTGGGTGCCAAGAGGATTTCACTTTGCTCCCAAGCCTCGGGAGATGATGCTGTCTGCATACTTTCATGACATAAATCTAGGGAACCATCGCTTTTTTTTACCAGCTGTTTTCCCAGGGTGTTGGGTGGTTTTTTAGAAAGAAGGATGCCTGGAAAGAGTGGGGAAGGTACCCCTAGAAGAAAGGTTACACCACACTTCCCTGTGGTTCCGGGGCTGTATTCGTGACTCGGAGGGCCCGGCCGCAAGGTGGCCATTCCTGCTTGGCTCTGACTCATGGGGCTGAGGGAGTACTTTTGAGAGCCCAGAATGCTGAAGGGAAATCAAACCACCAAAGCCGCGGTTCTCCTTTTGGCCCCCCTCCAAACCAACCAACCGGGGTCCCCAAAAACCAACAAAAGGGTACACATCGTGGGTGCGTTTCTGCAAAAATACATCAACAACACCCACACATACACACTAAAAAACAAAAACACAACACATACTAACAAAAAACACACACCCACAAAAACACAAGCACCACAGCCCCCACGGCGTCCCGCTCTCAAAGCACAAACCCCGGCCGCGGCGCAGCACGGTGGCCCGAGCACTGTTGGACATCTTCACCGCCACCGAGGCCGCCATCGCGTCCTCGGACCCGGTCGCTCAACTGAACGGACCCCGCGGCCTATCCAAGGTAACGTTTTTGCAGGCGCGCGGGTGCAAGGCCAGAAAATTTTAGACGAACGCGTACCAAAATGGGGTACTCGCTGAGAGTTGACCGATATGAATATTTGGCCTACCCTTTCTCACTGAGCGCTCAGAAATCGTGCGAAAAGCCTTTTTTCATCCTTCTGACCAAGACCCAAACAGCTTAAACTCTTTCTAGCTCAACTCCGCCTGTGAGCTCCCGTGCCCGCTCGTTCTCAGTGGCTTGGTGAGTCTGGCCAAATCGAGCTCGACTCAACAGCACGGCAGCCAGCCTCCCCGCCCTCCCGCCGTTTCGTGCTTGATGTTTTTTTTGGTTTTTTGGCCAGGGAAGCTGGGACAAACCAAAGCCCGTCTTTTCTTGTGCATGTCCAAGGGGAAATTCCTTCCCGCAAACAGTTGAACTGTGTCAAACTAAACGTGCCAAGCAACTCAAGTCCGGAAAACCGGCTTCAATGCAAAAGAAAGGGCGCCCTGTTGTTGTTTGCTAATTTTTGAAGCAAGGGCCCCTGCTGCGGTATTCGGTGGATGCACTATTCTTTTCTAAATGAGTGCGTCTTTTTTTGCTTCAGTCTCCTTTTGGTTTCCTGTTCAACCAACCAAACAAGGGTCCCAAATAGGGAAGAAGTGGTGTGATTGAGCATGGCTGGCTTACTTGCACAATGGGGGCGCCGGAATGTTTATCCTCCGAGTAACCCCCTCGTCTCCGGTCTCCGTTCTCCAAACCCTCCGCCCCAAACCTGCATCAGAGCCACAGCAAAAGGAGCCATTGCGGCCTAAAAAGTGGCCAGTGACCATTGGCAGCATAAGGATCGTTCGGGCCATGGCCCGAACGATCGCTCTTTGAACACCACCCATCTTCCCAGAATTAAGCCTGATTTTTGTTTGAAGAGAAGGATCCCTGCGAAGATGGGACAGGCACACTAGGTCCTCCAGTAGAGAGGTTAGAATACGGGTACCCTTTTTTTTCTGTGGTCTATTTTAATAGGGGAACCCTCTCCCAAAACAGGGTAAAGGGGTCTACTGAAGAACCTAGTGCAGCTACCCCCCGCTTCCCCCCCCCCAGCTGATTTGGGTGGCCGAGTGACCTGCGTCAGCTCGAAGGCCGACAAGGCGGTCTTCTGGATGTCGGTGACGGTGCGCCCCACGGAGCCCAAGAAGCCCTGCCTTTGGCAAATCGGATCTTGACTAGACGTGTAGATATGGATGTGTGTGGGTCAAACAATAGGTCAAATCTACCTAAAATAGGTCAACCATATGTGTCTTGACTAGACGTGTGGGTCAAACATAGGCACCCAAAATGCTTATTTGTTGGATCCATAGCCATATGTGACGATAAGGCCCCGCAAGAAAATGGAGCCTTGGTAGATGGAAACTAGGAGTCCCCTTGTGGCTGATTTGCTTGAACCAACATCACTTGTTTGACACGTTTTCAGTTTTGCTGCTCGGGGAAACGCTGAAGATCCACAGCAGCCAACAGATAGACAGATAGACCGATACACCCAACCAACAAACAGGAGGCACCTATGGGACCTGGAAGATCAACTTCGTCCTGAAGGGATCCTCTCATGTGCCACGTTTGTGGGAGGGAGTACATAAACAGCTTTATACAGATAGACAAACAATTAGCATCAACACACAAACAAATCAAATAAACGAATAAACAAACGAACAAATGAACGAACAAACACATGAATGTATCAATCGATATCAATACATAAATACATAACAGCAACTAACAATACACATACAAACACAAAAACACAACCAATGAATACATGCCCAACCACACACATACACAAACAACATAGATCAGCATGGCTCCAAACGTAAACCAAACCGAAGAAACAAACACAGGGGCAACCCTTTTTCATAAGATAATAAACAAATCAGCAACTAAACAACAACAAATTGCGCACATGCACATAATGAATAGCAACACAATACATCAATGGGTCAATGCATCACCTGTGTATATGTACAATTGCACTTATATGAAGGAGCTTACATAACTATGACCAAATTTGAAGCACGTCAACAAATGTAAACACATGGGCACAAACATAAACAACTCATCTTTAAAACCCATGAGTCAAAACAAAGCGCCGGCGTGAAAGTAGACGGCACTGTTCCCCTTATGCACGGAAACCGCCATGGGGAGGTTGTACCGCTTGCTCTCACCCAACTGTACGTGCAAACATTGGGGCACTGTCTAGGGGAAAATGAGTAGCACAAATCCAGTGAACCGCCAGGAAAGATCCATAAGCCGCAGTCCCCCCTCCAGCTTGGGGATAACCGATGCCAAAGGCTAAGACGGATACCTACCTGGCAGGATCATTTCCTCAGCATTCGTGGAAGGCGACCGAATGGCAATCCCGCAGGTGGGGGGTGGGTGGGTGGGGCCTGGAAACTCCATTTCTAACACCCCGACAAAAAAGGATTTGACCACTGGGTGTTGAGTAGGGGACTGGTACGGGACTTGGAAAATCAACAAGTTGTGTAATCCGCCTGCGGATGGCTTTACGAAAAACTGACATAATGGTGGGGAATAAGCGATTTCTGTGATACCAACGCGGGACATCTCCATTCCTGCTTTATCACTTTAACAGTGGGTGTTCTTGGTATCAGGGAAAGTCCTTAAAATCCAACCCTGGACAATGTGGCGGGAAAGAACCAACGGGTTCAGGCCGGCCGCGGCGGCTCTACATCCTCTGCAGGTTCTGTCACGATCTTGTCCTGCTCCTCCATGCAAACCAAGGCCTGCCACACAAAGGCTCCCAAAAGCCCAGTGGCCAAGGGGAATAAATTGCCAGCCTTTGCCCCCCCCCCCCTTGTTGGTAGATTTCAAACAAAATTGGAACGCGTGCCACTGGATGTCAGTGAAACTGCATGGGCCTTCTTTAGTGCTTTGTTCTCTAGGACTGCCTAAATAGTCTCGTGTCCATGGCAGTCAGGCGTGGCCTGCCATGCCGGACGAATGGCTACATTTGCTTCAGCCCCACAGAAAGCAGACACATACCTCCTGTCATAGATTCCCGGGGTAACATTTGCAAAAGAAAATCGAAGCTTGGCTAGCATGCCCTTACAGAACTCCGATCGGCTCCAAAAGGCTGCCCACTTCAAGCCAAAATTGGATACCCCGACCAACCAGCTCTGGAACGGCAGGGAAGCGGCGTCCTTGCATAGGTTACTAGCTTGGAGCAAATCCCATGGACTCAGCAGCCTTCCATGTTTTAGTTTGTGTTTGTAATTATTGGGGGGTCATAAATCGCAAAACATGTGATGAACCCCCCCCCCCCACAGCCCCCCACAGCCCCCCACAGCCCCCCACACCCCCCACACCCCCGACCAACTAGCTCTGGCTTTGGCTCCCTTCCAACCACCAGCTGATTGGAGCGATTTTGCCGGCCGCCTCGTAGGCGGAGGCTCGGCGCACCATGAGCTCAATGAGGGCCACTTGCCTCCACTCCTAGCCGAGAGGTGCAAGCGGCAGGGCTTGAAGGTGGGGAAGGTGTACTAGGCCCTCCAGTAGAGAGGTTAGAATAAGGGTACCCTTTTGTCCCGAGGCGTCCCGTCAATGTGAGACGCAGGTCATGAGGCATGCCGCCTCATCACCCCAGTGGAAAAGGGCGCAGGTAAGGGTACCATTTTTTCTGTTGTCAATTTTAGTAGGGAACCCTCCCAACCAAAAAAGGGGAGAGAAGGGCGCTACTGGGGGACCTAGGTGTCTGTTTTGAGAGGCGCCCTTTCACCCGTGAACTGGAGGAACCTTTTGACACAGACCCATGCAGCGTGGCCCTGCAGGTCACTTGATGTGGAAAACGGTCTGGATGCATTTTGGTGGATTCCTCCCAGTCCCCTGATTGCTGCAAAAGCGGTCACCATGTCAAGCAGAATGGGGCCAAGCGTTGACCCCAGGGGATCACATGGAACCTTCCATAGTTTGTGGCAAGGCTGTTGGAAACATCCCTTGGTATCACAGAAATCGGCCCAGCCCAGATGTCCATAAATTTAAATGGGAAGTCGTTGTTGTGGTACCCCTTTTTTGTAGCTTGAAAGAGACACCAGGAGGACAAGCGAAGCCTTTTTTTTTTGGGGGGGGGGGGGGCGGGGGGTCCCCTGAAAATCGAAACGCCCAATTGGGGCCCTGGACAATCAAAGCTTTCCCACCCTTTTTGGTTTCCCTTCCCACCATCGCCTTTCGGGCTTGATGAGAAAACTGGGACTCAAATGTTCCATGGCCAAACAGGTTCCCCCGGCCCAGTTTTCTGGGCAGGCAATGAATAAGGTGGGGATGATCAGATCTTTTGCTGATCTTTAGATGAATTTTACCAAGAGTCATGCCATTGTCCCTCCTGACTCCTGACCCTTTCATTCTTGCTTCAGCCCCCTTGGACAAAACAGGCATAGGGGCTGTGGCGCGTCGGAAGGCCTGGAGCAGGAAGTAGAAACCTCCCAGCTCCCGCGTGGCCACGGCGGCCAGCAGATCTTCCACCGTAGATGCTCGCTTGATCCTGGCTTCGGCGACGGACAGCCCCACCCCCGGCCCTCTTCACGCCCCCCCCCTCAAAACCCCCCAAAACCCCCGGCGCGAACTGCGGCGCGGCTTTCCAGGGGTCTGAATAAGACCAGAGAAAGGCGAGCTTGGGCGTTTCATGGCTCAAGCCTCATCCCGCGAAATGAGAACTCCACCTTCAAATCCCAGTTCGGGGGCTCAGGGAATTTCATCCAAGCTGAGCCACCCCTCAGTCTCGAGTAAGCCCGGGAACTCCAATCTTTCCATTTGCTGAAACGAATATGTTCTCTCTTCCCCTAGTTTTAAAGGGAACCTACTGCATCACTACTGGAATTATGTTTATTTACTTCTCAGGACCCTCAAGCAAATGGAAGTCTATGAGCTCCAACATGGCCAAGTTCTGCTTGACCCAGTGGGTTGCTTCCCTGTTTCAACTTCGTCTTGGGTCCTTAAAGTCAACTTCCAACAAGCGCCCGTTTCCATGGCTGGGTCCAGTACTGAATCCCCCCCCCCTCAAGCCTACCGGACTCTGCTTGTACTATGTTTTCCTCGTTGGCTTACTTGTTCCGGACACCGAGCCATGGGTTTGAGAAGAGCTTAAGGTTCCAAGAGATCCTTGGGATCATTCCCTCACTTCCCCAAGAGATGGTGGCTTTGAAAAGCCCCAAGGGCCTACCAATCCCAATGGGGCCGTTTGCGATCGTTTGCGTCTAGGGCTCCTTCCGCTTTCTTGTGTCTATGGGCCTGCTGAGAGCCAGGCGGCTTGGGCGCGATGCTCGACACTTCCAACATCAAGGGAGAGAACCAGTCTGGGGGGACAGCACCCGGATACATGAGAGATGAAACCATACCGTGGATGGACGACATGCTGCACCACCTAAGAAACCCTGGAATGATGATTTCCTGCAAATTTTAGCAGTGGCTTCCCATGGTTTCTTCGGTGGTGCGAATGGATTTCATCCATCCACAGTATCCCAAGCCAGTTCAGCCCAGGCAATCCTCGAAGGCATCGCCAGTCAACTTATTGGCCTCATCAATTCGATATGTGTGTCCACGGCCCCTTTCGGATGCCAAGGGTCAGGTTGGACGTGCCTCTTGCGGACGGGTCCCCACTCAAAGCGAAGCACTAGGAGACTGGGAGACTGTCGGGCCCTTCTTTTCAGGCCTTTAGGCGTTGGGGAGCAGGTCCCCGAATCAATTCCGACCACATGGCTCCAAGGGCCCCAGGTCAACTCCCGAGGCTCTGTTTGCGTGAGGTTTCTCGCCTCTCAGGGCTCTTGGGGTTGGTTGCTCAACTCCTCCAGTAGAGAGGTTAGAATAAGGGTACCAACCTTTTTTACGTAATTTTAGCTGGACCCTCCCCCAAAAGAGGGTTGGTCAAAGGGCACCTAGCTGGGGGACCTAGTCAAGCCAACTCGACAGCCAAAATGAAACACCGTCCTGGAGAGGGAGATCACCTTGGAGCCCGCTGCCAGCTGGCACCACAAGGCCCCGGCTGAGAAGGAGTCCACAGCCTCGCGTCTCGCGTCCGGGCCGCGACCTATTCTTCCATTTGCTCTCCCCTGAAAAAAAAAAACACTATTTCCAGTGGTGATAGATTCCCTTTAAAACCAACAGGGGAAAATAAAACATCTTCTTAAGCAAATGGAAGTTTTGGTCAACGATTTAACCACGGTATTCATCTTGGGCTCATATTCATGCAGGAGGGGGGGGGAGAGTATTTTTCGAAACCACTCAAGGAACCCTACCCACTCCCGACTCCCCAGCAAAATCACATGGAACTTAATATCTTCGAGGAGATTCCTCTGGTTAACTGCCAGGGGTTCATTCGTGTTCAGTAGTTTCCCACCCCATACTCTTAACGCCGGCAAGAGTTAAAGCCCCCAAACCATGAATCCAAATCACACCCCTGAGCTGCGAACCGATCCACATCACCGACTCAGAGTTACTTGACGGATACGGGTCTTAGTCCTTGTTTCCACTCACCAGACATTTTTTGGGTTGCCCGATGTTTGACCCACACCCAGATCATTTGGACACGCAAATCATTAGAATTATAACGCCGGTCATGGAACCCTACTTTGTCGGCTTGATGGAAGAGGGTTTAAGGTCACTGTCTCAAGTCTAATGCTTCCAAACGGTCTTACTCTGCAAACAAACATGAAAGAAACAAAGAAACACACAAACACAGAAACAAATAAACAAACAAACAAACAAACAAAGAAAGAAGGAACGAAAGAAACAAAAGAAGAAAGAACAAAAGAAAGAAAGAAAAACAAACAGAAAGAAGCGGCAATGGTTTCCTGCAAGAATGATGTTGCTTTTTTGTGGGGTGCCTCTAATAATGATGCTGGTTTTTGGGGGCTCCTTCAAGAATTTGAGAGTGGTTTTGGGGGCTCCTCCAAGAATTCGACAGTGGTTTTGCGGGTTCCTCCAAGAATTTGACAGTAGTTTTGGGGGCTCCTCCAAGAATTTCATAGTGGTTTTGGGGGCTCCTCCAAGAATTTGAGAGTGGTTTTGGGGGCTGCTCCAAGAATTTGACAGTGGTTTTGGGGGCTCCTCCAAGAAGGTTTTGGGGGCTCCTCCAAGAATTTGACAGTGGTTTTTGCGGGTTCCTCCAAGAATTTGACAGTAGTTTTGGGGGCTCCTCCAAGAATTTGACAGTGGTTTTTAGGGGCTCCTCCAAGAATTTGAGAGTGGTTTTGGGGGCTGCTCCAAGAATTTGACAGTGGTTTTGGGGGCTCCTCCAAGAATTTGACAGTGGTTTTTAGGGGCTCCTCCAAGAAATTGACAGTGGTTTTGGGGGCTCCTCCAAGAATTTGACAGTGGTTTTGGGGGCTCCTCCAAGAATTTGACAGTGGTTTTGGGGGCTCCTCCAAGAATTTCATAGTGGTTTTTAGGGGCTCCTCCAAGAATTTGAGAGTGGTTTTGGGGGCTGCTCCAAGAATTTGACAGTGGTTTTGGGGGCTCCTCCAAGAATTTGACAGTGGTTTTTAGGGGCTCCTCCAAGAAATTGACAGTGGTTTTGGGGGCTCCTCCAAGAATTTGACAGTGGTTTTGGGGGCTCCTCCAAGAATTTGACAGTGGTTTTGGGGGCTCCTCCAAGAATTTCATAGTGGTTTTTAGGGGCTCCTCCAAGAATTTGAGAGTGGTTTTGGGGGCTGCTCCAAGAATTTGACAGTGGTTTTGGGGGCTCCTCCAAGAATTTGACAGTGGTTTTTAGGGGCTCCTCCAAGAAATTGACAGTGGTTTTGGGGGCTCCTCCAAGAATTTGACAGTGGTTTTGGGGGCTCCTCCAAGAATTTGACAGTGGTTTTGGGGGCTCCTCCAAGAATTTCATAGTGGTTTTTAGGGGCTCCTCCAAGAATTTGAGAGTGGTTTTGGGGGCTGCTCCAAGAATTTGACAGTGGTTTTGGGGGCTCCTCCAAGAATTTGACAGTGGTTTTTAGGGGCTCCTCCAAGAATTTGACAGTGGTTTTGGGGGTTCCTGCAAGAATTTGACAATGGTTTTGGGGGCTCCTCCAAGAATTTCATAGTGGTTTTGGGGGCTCCTCCAAGAATTTGAGAGTGGTTTTGGGGGCTCCTCCAAGAATTTCATAGTTGTTTTGAAGGCTCCTCTCAAGAATTTGACAGTGGTTTTGGGGGCTCCTGCAAGAATTTGACAGTGGTTTTGGGGCCTCCTCCAAGAATGTCATAGTGGTTTTTTGTTTTTAAGAATGATCGTTCTTTTTTTGGGGGAAACCGAACCCCTTGTGGCCAGCCCAAGCGCCGAACATCGAGAGCCGTGCCTCGGGGTCCGGTCCCAGCGCCGGCTGCTCCAAGAACCGCCAGCGCGCGGGGCCCACGATGCCCGTGACCGGGCCCCGCGAACGGAAGTCCTGAGGCCCCCGCGCCCGAAGTGGGGGAGGTGGGGGGTGGGGGCTTTGGGGGGGGGGTTGGGTTTTGGGGGTGGGGGGGTAGAAATTGAGAAATGGACGAGGAGCCCCCCTAAAAAAAAATTCAACATCATTCTTGGAGGACCCCCTCCAAACAAAAAAGCATGGAGGAGCCGGAAAGAAACCATCATTCTTGGAGTAAAAAGTAGTTTCCTTTGGGCTGGAGGCTGGAGGTTCTATGTTTGGTTCGGTTTGGACGTTAGGTGCCTTCTCTATTTGGCTTCAAGAGGCGCAGGGGTTCAAATCCCCACACCAATTCAGGGGTAACTGATGTCGGTTGCCGAACTCACACAGAGCAAGGCACAACAAACGCCAAACCACGCACCAAGACAACCAACAACAAGCAGCTAAGCAAAACATGCGCAAACCCCAAGGCTAACAACGCAAAACAAACAGACAGAACAGCTCGAACCAACACCAACCACAAAGCAGCGCAACCCCTGCACCGAACAGGCTGCAAATCCTCAACAGCGGTTCAGCATACAACATAGAGAAGCCCCAAGCAACCCACGAACTAAACATCTTCCTGTGCAAACAGCGACGAAGACATGCAAGCAAAAGCAAGCAACAGCAAGCAAAAACAAGCAAGAAAAAACAAGCAAGCAAAAACAAGCAAGCAAAAACAAGCAAGCAAGCAAGCAAGCAAGCAAGCAAGCAAGCAAGCAAGCAAGCAAGCAAGCAAGCAAGCAAGCAAGCAAGCAAGCAAGCAAGCAAGCAGCAAGCAAGCAAGCAAGCAAGCAAGCAAGCAAGCAAGCAAGCAAGCAAGCAAGCAAGCAAGCAAGCAAGCAAGCAAGCAAGCAAGCAAGCAAGCAAGCAAGCAAGCAAGCAAGCAAGCAAGCAAGCAAGCAAGCAAGCAAGCAAGCAAGCAAGCAAGCAAGCAAGCAAGCAAGCAAGCAGGTCACGGCGACGTTAGCCACGCGGGCCGCCGTTGCAATTTTCATACACCGCCTCGGTTTGCTGCTTTGAGGATCTTTGGAACCTTATGCCACAGGTCCGGTCCAGCATTGTATCTGAATTGGAAGCTGTATGCCCACTGCCACACCTGCGGATTCAGCACGATCCAATTGCTCGCCACGATACAATTGCTGCCACGTCGCCTGGGAACCGCATTGTGTATCCCCTTTTCGAAGACTCTCAAGCAAATAACCAGGGCTCCCTTTTATTTCGTAGGGGCACCAATGTAAACAGACAAGAGGAATATACAGTTTCACCCCCAAAAGAGAGACCTCCGGTTGCAGGGGACGCGCCAGACAAGGAGGGCAAAAAAGCTTTTGGACATGGTGCTGTGCGGGTGCACTTGGGCGGGTGTGCTTATCATTTGGCTGAGCGTGTGTGCAGTGCTGTGCGGGTGCACTTGAGCGGGTGTGCTTGTCATTTGGCTGACGTGTGTGCAGTGCTGTGCGGGTGCACTTGAGCGGGCGTGCTTATCATTTGGCTGGCGTGTGTGCAGTGCTGTGCGGGTGCACTTCAGCGGGTGTGCTTATCATTTGGCTGGCGTGTGTGCAGTGCTGTGCGGGTGCACTTGAGCGGGTGTGCTTATCATTTGGCTGGCGTGTGTGTGCTGTGCGGAGCGCTTGAGGCTGGCGTGTGCAGTGCTGTGCGGGTGCACTTGGCTGTGCTGATCATTTGGCTGTGTGCAGTGCTTGTGCTTATCATTTGGGCGTGTGTGCAGTGCTGTGCGGGTGCACTTGAGCGGGTGTGCTTATCATTTGGCTGGCGTGTGTGCAGTGCTGTGCGGGTGGAATTGAGCGGGTGTGCTTATCATTTGGCTGGTTTTGTGTTCAGGGTTTGGGGCTTAAGGTTTAGGGTTTACGGCGCAGCTGTAACGCGACCTGCCACTGGCGGAAAAGATGACTCGAAGTCAAGCTTGCTACGAGCGCTCTTGCGAAGGTGACACTCAACGCGACCTGCCACTGGTGGAAACTATAAATCGTAGTCAAGCGCGCTGCGAGCGCTCTTGCGCGGGTGTTGGTAAACGCGACCTGCCAATGGCGGTAAATATAAATCGTAGTCAAGCGTGCTACGAGCGCTCTTGCGCGGGTGGCGGTACACGCGACCTGCCACTGGCGGCAAATATGAATCGAAGTCAAGCGTGCTACGTCAGCTTGTTTGTGAAGAAGTCACGAACATGAAAAAACGAAGGATCCTCCCGCGTGTCTAACGTCGCCGTGAGCAAAAACAAGCAAGCAAAAACAAGCAAGCAAAAACAAGCAAGCAAGCAAGCAAGCAAGCAAGCAAGCAAGCAAGCAAGCAAGCAAGCAAGCAAGCAAGCAAGCAAGCAAGCAAGCAAGCAAGCAAGCAAGCAAGCAAGAAGCAAGGAAGCAAGGAAGCAAGGAAGCAAGGAAGCAAGGAAGCAAGGAAGCAAGGAAGCAAGGAAGCAAAAAACAAACAACATGGATCTAGCGCCGGATTGACCAACCAAGTGTTCGAATTCAATCAACCAACCGACACACCGAACAAACAACTACCCAACCATCCAAGCACGCATGCAAGCAAGCAAGCAAGCAAGCCAAATCAACCAATCAATCATCCCAACCAATCCAACCAACCCAATCAACCAACGAATAAATCAGTCAACAAAAAAATCAACCAATCAACCGATCAACCGTTCACCAATCAATCAATCAATCAATCAACCAACCAATCAATCAATCAATCAATCAAATCAATCAATCCAATTCAATTCAATTCCATTCCATTCCATTCCAATCCAATCCAATCCACCGATCAACCAAGTCAATATATTAATAATCAACTCACGCTTCATTTCATGGCATACCCACCAGTCAACAATAAATCAATCATTCAATCAGTCAATCGATCAACCAATCAATCAAATCAATCAAATCAATCAAATCAGTCAAATCAATCAAATCAATTAAAACAAACAAAACAATGAAAACAATCAATCAATCAATCAATCAATCAATCAATCAATCAATCAATCAATCAGTCAATCAATCAATCAGTCACTCAATCAATCAACCAATCAATCAAGCAAAGCAAAGCAAACCAAAGCAAATCAATCAAATCAAACAATCAAATCAATCAAATCAAATCAAACGAAACCAAACCAAATCAATTCAATCAATCAAGCACAACAAATCAATCAAGCCAATAAAGCCAAGCCAAGCCAAGGCAAGCCAAGGCAAGCCAAGCCAAACCACACCCACCCACCAACCAATCCATCAATCAAAACGACCAAGCAAACCAGCAACCAAGCAGCAACCCAGCAACCCAAGCAACCTACATCACTTCAGGTTAGACCCCAAACCAATTCAAATCAAAATTCGAGTCAGCAAACACAAATAACAACAAGTCCTACCAAATCCATTGGTTGGGTTCCGGGCGAGCGTGGGATGCAGCCCGACGGATTCACGGCTCCTTGCGGAAGGAGGTGTGGTGCATTCCTCGCTGAGATCCGCTCGAACCCGGGAAACGAGTTCTCGGCCGAGTGGTTTGGGTAAAAGAAGCTCGCGGATTGAAATGGAGGAGCCCTCAAAATGCGTTGGTGTCCTTTGGTTTCCCGTTAAAACCACTCCACAAAAACAAGAAGGAGAGCTGGATGATGGAGACCTCCCATCTCGAAGGTGGACCAAGCCCCGTGCATTTCAGGGATTCCCCCTCCAAGCCTTAACCTGAATCAACTTGATGCCCACTTGGTGAGCAGATTGTAAAACACGGTTAGGCCGTGAATGGGAGGCGATGGTATGGAGTAGCGCGATGCTACTCTGGTCGGGCCAGTAAAGTTGGGGCAGTTCACATCCACCCAGGTACTACCGGTACTGCTCACGCCGTGCCATGGAGATCACAACAAGTCCGGCCATACCTTGAATAGCGAACATGATGACACAATCCTGATCAAACTCCATGTCTCCAGGACAAACCACCAACTGGTGAAGGGTTTTTGTCCATGCGCAGTGCGTCAACCAACCGGTGCAGTTTTGGGAATGAACCTAGGTCCCGTCCCCCATAAGAAACTTGAAACCGGGCTCATTTTTCCCAAGGAACTCAGCTCAGGCCGAGTTTCAAGCATGTCCTTTTGCATTCAAAGCCCGGAATGACCCCACAATGGATCACGGCCCTAAATGAGCCATCCTTGTGGCTTCCTTTCAACTTCTCCACTTTCGGCTTCCCAAACCCGGAACCCCCTCGATTCATCCCGTTCTGCGAATAAACAGAACCTACATAGTCACCAACATGCCAGGAGCAGTTCAGGAACTCGCATATGTCAACTGCCCCGGGCCCGGACAACGGGGTTCCCCGTATTTCCCGGCATCACGACCGCAAAGAAGACTCACCTCACTTCCTGCGTGGACTGGCCAAACAAGTTCAAGCTCTGTTGTTCACCACCGGCCCCAAACCCGAAAAGTGCCTAAAGTCCAGGAACCCAGGGAGTGAGTCACAAAATTCATAGACCCTGACAATGGGATTCCCTAAATTTCCACAATTTTCACTGGTAACATGGGCAAAGCAGGTGATGTTTAAAGCCACCACGGGAAATCCTCGGCGATTCGACCCCCGCTCGACGACCCCCGGCGACGCGAGCAACGCCGCGGCGCGGAGCACGGCGCAGCCGCCGCCGCCGCGGGCCGCGGCCGCGGAGAAGATGCGGCGAGTGGGGCGCTTGCCGAGCAAGGCTGTCTCACCCACGAAGCCTCCGCCTTGGGAATGCTGGGATGGAATATGCATATAACAATTGCGTGATATGGCTATAGGTATATTTGACAAAAATATTGCATATGCAAATGCATCTATGCATGTGAATTGCTGCAATCTAGCTGCAATGTGTGTCTTCAAGCTCGAATAGCGAGGCTACTTGGTTGCTGTTGACCCTTCTGCAGAAAGTTGAAAACGTTTTGTGGATTCAATGGGAAACCCTTAGCTTCCCAAAAAGCTAAAGTCTAAAGATCCAACCCAAAAGCAATACAAATCAGAAGTATCTTCAGCAAACATATTTTACATAAGCAAAATACTTCTATCATATGAATTGATTAAAGCAACACAACGGGAGGACACTATTCAAATTCCTACCCAAGGACATGCCAGGGGAATGCTAGGGGTACATACTCAAGGGTACGTGGTTGGGCCCTTGGAGATCAATGCTGGAGCAACCCGGAGAGCGAAAAGTAAATGCAGAAAACGCCGCAAAACGGGATAAATCAACACCGAAGGGGCATCATTTTTTGAAAGCCCTGTTTTCCTCCTATACAATTCGCATTTAAAAGGCAATTGTTAGTCAAAGCCCAGCGATTGGTAGAGAAACTCACTGGCCTTGACCCCCCAAAGGCGCGCTGGCGGGTTCTCCCTTGAATTGGCGGTATGCCGTTTGTTTTTTGTGGGCAAGCACCGAATCCAAACAGTTTGATCAAATGAGAAACTCAAAAAACCTCGGTTCCAAATGAGAGGCTTGGCAAAAACAAAGGCAGCCAAACACTCTTGTTCACCACGGAAATGCAAAGCCAAAAAGTGACTAAGGGTCTAAGGAACTCAAAAAGTCAGACATGCAACCGCTTTGGACCCCGGTTCTTCAAACTAACTGTTCGAGTGCTGAGCCGGGGCCTCGGTTTCTCGGTGACAAGCCTTTCCATCCCTTGGTTGCTGTAACGACCCCTCTGCAAAACGTCAACTATTTGTGGGTCCAATATTGAAAATCCGACCTGTGTCAACCAAAAGTTCAAGTCCCAAGATCCGTTGCCAGATGGCCATGAAGCAACCTTTGGTGTGTGATTGAAATTGTTCAAAAGCTCTTTGCAGCCTCCCAAACATGAGCTGAACCGAGCAAAAAGAAAACAGAAGCGTATGACAATGATTGTGAAGCACAAGGAGCCCAGATTTGTTTGCGAGTCTATTTTGGCGTGAGCCATGACTCGCTGTTTCTTTGACCTGGGCATGACAAAAGCTCACGATGAAGGTTTCCGCTTGTGAACAAAAACATAATTTGCCCAGATAGATCTGATCGGTGAAACTGCTTGGCCGACCTGATCCGATCTGTGCGCAGAACAAAGTGCCACATGACTTCGCACAGGTCGGATCGGAACACCCAAAAAGTTTCCAAAGAGTTGGGACCTTTCGGGTATGCTTCAAGGAAGGCTCGATTTTGAGAAGCCCCCGCATGTTTTAAACATGTGTGGGCGAAATCTGTTCCAACCCACGGCCATCCCTCATTACACCCCCAGATCAGGTTGTTCCTTGGGGGTTGTTCGCAAGTCTCGGCCCAAGACTGGTTTGCCCAATTTGTTTGGCATGGGGGATTTGCTAAAATTACTAAGATTACCCTGTGAAACCGCTCGGCCACGCAGGAAGTGGGTGGTGGGGTCGGGGGTGGAGCATATTCTGCCAGTTTCCACCGAAAGAGTCGCTTGCATTCGACCCTGGCGTAGAAAACCGCACCGCCGAGCAATGGTCTAATACCTCCCCCTTAAAGCCCGTAGGGTCCCGAAGGCTCATTCACCTCTTCACTATGGACATGCCTTCCCGTGCCACCAACTAACCTGGAGTTGCACAAAGCCCATTCCCAAGAGGAAAGTAGTCTTTCTATAGGGGCCTATGCACTTCCATGTTAGTTGGTGGGAGGGTAATGTGTTGTTTGATGGGGGGGAAGTCTTTCGGGAAAATCTGACCCTTGGGAGATTGCCCACTAGGTCAAAGGTCAATCCAAGCCGCGCGTGTAGCGCCGCAGCTCTTTCTTGCCGCGGCGTGCTACCACCTGGCCCCATTTGCTTGGAGATGGTAGGGTTTGAAAAGAAGAAAGCAACGAGAAGCTTGGGCATCGAACAAAGAATCAGTGATTGTGCCAAAGCTTCCAGCGAAACATTTGTTTGCCTGCGAAACATTTTTTTGCCTGGCAACGATGTTCTAAAAACAGAACAGCTTCACCGGAAATCCGGAAAATCCTTGCGCACCTGCTTGGTTGCAGCTCACGGATCCAGAGCCGATTGATCGGCCTCCAGGCAACCCCATCCCAGCCATGAAGTGGAAGCTTCCCTAGGGCTCGTGGAACCAGCCCCTTGGAGTGGTTCAGGAAGAAAGAAAATAACGGGTTGATGGCGAAACAGAGGCTGATCGAAGCCGGTTGGATCTGTTTCGTGATGCAATGACATCAACCCACCTCTCATCCTGCAAAATCATTGCCAAAAACACGAAGGGTTGACATGCAATCCGATCTTCAGGCAAGGCCGTTCAATATTGATGAGGTGTGCCGAGCACAAAAAAAGCAACTTACAAAGCATGAGGCAATGCAACCAAACTGAAAACCTCAATCAGGCCAAAGGTGTATATGTCCAACCCATGGTTTTTCAATGGTTCCAAAGCCTAAAGATTGAATCAACCAAGCTATTGATTCGGGTTCTTTCCTGCCCAGGTCACCCCATGCCCTAAGCGCGCCCCGGATGCGTCGCGGCAACGGGCGTCCACTTAAACATGGGAGACGCGTGGAAGAGGTGGCTTCCCATACACAAGCCGAAAAAAGGTGCCATGAGAAACACACACAGATGCCAAGACCTCCAGAACACACACAAAGACAAATTTCCCTGCTTGAAGTTTTGAGAACTACGGAACAATCAACCAACGTCTGACATCTGAAACAGGATGTCCTCTTGAAAGCGCCTCAAATCCTCAAGCCAGAGCCTCACTCCTTGGATGAAAAACGTGGGCTTGAGGCCCACACCCAACTGCATGCAGCCTGTATTCACCACTTGTGTGGGTTTGCAATCCCACGTGAAACCTGTAAGTGGGGCGGAAAAACTAATAAGCACCTTGCAGCTGTCACAATGGTTCCAACATCCAACATATGTTGCTCCAAGTACAGAACCTTCATCATGGTGAGCAGTAGGCAGATACATGTGCCCCTTGTGCTCACCAGGGTAGATCCTCTTCCTCCGATTCCATGCGTTGAGCAGGGCGTAGCAGACCCCCACTAAACGGATAGAAACAAGAACAAAGTTACTTGGTTGCTGTTGGCCCCCCTGCAAAAAGTTTAACTTTTTGGGGGTTTAGTGGAAAATCCTTCATTTCCCAAAAAGTTAAAGTCTAAAGATTCAACCCAATAGCAGTCAAGGATAAGTCGAGAAAGTGAAGATGAGACATAACGAAGCAAGACAAACGCAAGACAACCAAAGAGGGTTGGGCCAAGCCCCCGAAAAACAACATGCTTCATCCATTTACACAATCTCCCGTTTTTTCCTTCTCCTGTCAAGGGCACCGGAAAGCGGTAGTACAACCCCCCACGAGTGACACATCCACCTCGATGGGCACAACCCCCCTTTTTTCGCCCCCCCGACTCATCGCCTCCCCGGCGAGGATGAAGTAGAGAAAGTCACCCATGTCGTTGGCGCGGAAGAGCGTGGCGCCCGCCGGCACGTAGAAGGGCCCCTGCGCACGCGCAAGCGAACGGCCAGCGAGTGAGCGGCACGTGGTTCTTACGTCTTAGGAAAGCTCCCGGGAAGTGAACTGGAGGGGTTGGTTTAGGGGACCGATCGGGTGCGGAAACGCGTCACATGAACAAGTATGTGAACAAGACGTGACATCTGCTTGCAGGGCCTCCAAACCAGCTGCCCTAAAGCATCACTGCTAAATTTAGTATTGCCAGTTTGGGTGGGGTTGGGGCGGTTGGGGGCTGTTTGACGAACTGGGTTTAGGGGTTGGTTTCTTAGGAGAAAGTGAGCTGAAGGCTGTGTTACTTGCGTGTGCGATAGGTAAGGAATGACCTTTCGGGTGTGGAGATTCCCTTAAAGCAACCGATGGGTTGCGGCTTATAGGGGTCGTTCCATTTCTCATTCCCTGCCGGGAACCAGCAAGGTTAGGGACTCCAAAAGGACCATACCCTGTGAGGAGTTTTCTCTGGACGGCAACAAGATGGAGGTGGGTTGGGTTAGAGGGTTAGAGGTTCGCGGGCGAGGGGTTGGTTTAGGGCTCATCTAAGGTACCCGGAGCTGGGTTTTGGGGTGGTTCAGGATGGATTTAAACTCAAGATGGTGGCTTTGTGCAGGGCTGAGGGGCTGCGAGGTGGAAGTCAACGGATCAATTTTTCTCGACCAGCTTCGCTACTGGGCCAAGTCCTAGGGGCCAAGGCGGCGACCAAAAAGCAAAAACCTGTCGCATAGTCAAGTCACAGATTTCCGTGGAAGCCCATCCAAGTCCGAATGGGTGTGTGTCCCATCTGGACGTGGCCCGATAGGAGTTGCGAAAAACATGTTTTTCGGAGGTGTCCGCCGTCCGACCCCCATGTCCTCAGAAGTCCGCAACAAGAAAGAAGCCGGGCTTGGGAGGAAGCCAGGGCAATTTCCAAGAGGTTGGGCCAACCTGTTCGATGCTGAAAAACACCAATCGCTGGAGCAAGCTCCTTTCGGCTTCCTTTTGAAGGTGCTGAACCCGGCCTGGCATACCACATTTTTGGCCCGCAGCAGGTGACATCCTCAAACTACCCAAGTGGTTGAAATGGCAACCACCAACAATAAGTTGGACAACTCCTTTAAATCTTGGTGGCTGTTCGCCCCACTGCACAGAGTTGAACTTTTGTTGGGTGGGAAACACACCTTATCCGTTAAAAAAGGCGGCAAGAAACTGCAGCCACCCTATTGGCTTCCCGGGGCTTGTCAAGGCATGGAGGTGTGCCACTTCTATGCGGGGGTACCGTGTTGGAAGCAGTTCTCGGACTTTTTCTGGTCGATGGCTTGGATTGGTGGTTTGGTGGTTTGATGGTTTGGTGGCTCGGGGTGGTTTCCCATTTGATTTCCGCAAAACCCCAAACCGCCAATCCAAACCGCCAATGCATGCAGGCTCTCAAGACAGTTGGCATGGAACCTGACAGGGGCTCGGAGCAAATGGTCCAATTCAGGACCCCCCGAAATTTTCGACCGGTTCCATGCTCATTGGGCAAGCATCCACACCTCACAGCTTTGCAAGGACCTGCCTCGCCTGGAATTCTCTGGCCAGCTGCACTAAGTCGGCAGGGCTGAGCTCGGCAAAGATCGGGAACCTTTCCCCGTGCACCCGTCCCCCCCCCCCCCGGCCCACTTTTTTGTTTTAAAGCAACGGCCCAGGTGGTATCCCAACAGCCACCAGAACAATTGGATCCCTCAGGACCCCGAAACAAAGAAAAGAATGAGCTTCCTGGCGAAATGGGATTTGAACTGAGCAAATGTACAAAACAAAGACCCTTTTGTGGTATCAACAGCCCTCCTGAAGCAGCCACAAAAGTGGAATCAAGAAAGCTCCACAGAGTTGGGACCCTTGGAGGAAACCACTGGGGGGCGTTGAAAAACAACATGACCATGCAAGCTGATTTGGAGGAGCTCCTTGCGAAGCAGGCGGCATTTGGCAATTTGGCAAGCAGTGAACTCAATTTCTGGGAAATCCCGCCTTGTGAGCCATAATTGCTATAGAAGGGCCATTCCAAAATAGGTCAAGGGCATTGTGTGTAATTATCTAGCCCTTGTGTCGCCAACCGCATTGTGTGTCATATGGTCCGGAGCCAGTACCAGTTCAAATCAGGTGCCCCGTTTCCCAGTTGCAAGTGACCCAAACGGTAGATCACGAATTCGATCACTTGCTTGGTGTCCATGTCGTGTCTTGAGGGGAAGGGAACCAGCGTTTCGGGGTTCTCAGGGCTTTATTTCCTGTGTAGACTGGCCAAGGCAAACAGTTGTTTGCCACAGAAATTGTCTCCCAAAAAGTTTAAAGTCCAGAAACTCAGGCGGTGAAGGGCAAAGCCGACCTTTTGCAAAAAAAGAAAAAACGAGAGGAGGATTTGGGCTTCCCCGGGAACTGCATGCGGCATAACACCCAAACCCGGTGGAACTCGGAACCCATCCATGGCTCAGGGTTGCCATCCCAACGAATCGACACGGGTACAGAAAACAACGCCTGCCGCTTGCACTCGGCGAGCTTGCGATCGATATTATTTGTCAATGCGTGACCTGAACCTTAAGGTGGAACACTGGATGTATCGAATGGCTCCAAACTTGGGCGCCATGTCTGCAGTTCATATATATATATATATATTGGTGGGCGCTTTGTGAGGCTCGGTGCGCTTCTTGGTTGGCGAAGGGACACCAAAGGAAACCATCAGCGTTTTTTTTGGGGGGGTCCCTTAAAAACAAGACAAACCCCAATAGCCTCAATCATGTGGCTTTGGGTTGTTCAAAGCAGCTGGAGTTCCAATGGGTCGGATTTAAGGAAAGTCCAAAGCGGTAGCGGCCCCATTTTAGAGGCACAACCCATTTGATCACCTTTGGGGGAGCTGGTTGGGAAATCCGTCCACGTTCCGGCCACTGGATACGAACTTTGCCAAACAACGTCCGGCGAGTCTTGGCTTCCGCTAAGGTTTAGATCACCTGAGCAGCATCGAGCAGGTCTCGCTGGGTCAGGGATGCAAAAAAAAAACAGGCGCTGGCACAGAACAAAACATTCAAGTCAGCGGCAAGCCACGAGAAGGGTACATGCTCCATTCTAACTCTTGGGGGTGGGTTCCACTATCTTACAGAACATCCAACGTTCGGCCAATCGAATGCAGCCGAAGAAGCTCAGCAAGGAGCTTCATCCTCAGAACCCAAGGTGGTGTTCGTTGGTTTCTCTCCTCCCCCTTTAACACCTGGCCATTTGGCAACAGCACCATGGTCTCCCGGTTCTTGATTTCCAAGGGCCCTCCCTCCAAAAGTGAAGGACACAAAGGGGCAGGTCTGAAGTGCTCAACTTCTGCCGCTGGGCACAATGCCAGACTGAGCTCACTGTTTGCCATGTGCCGCCATCTTTTACTCTTGTGGCTTTCCTTCATTCTCCCTTTGAAGCAGCACTTATTGACAACTGACAACCATAAATTTATGTCAAGCGGACCTCTTGGTGCCCAAAATGCAATGTCAACTTGGGATTAAAGATAGAGCCCGACATAGGGACCGTGAAACAATACACCACAAGAGCAGAGATAAAGAGAAGGAACACAAACACAATAGGAGGTGCTGGTGAAGCTTCAGGCTTTGTCCCTTCCCCCTACAAGGAAGTCGTTTTGCCTTCCCTCCCCCCCAACAAGAAAAAAACACAACAACAAAACAACTTGCTCAGGTCATGGCCTCTTAGCTAGTTAAAGAATCCATGGTTGAGCTTCAGGTAAGATGTTTTTTTTCTTTTTTTGACACGGCATCCAACATGCTCAACTTGCCCGAACTCATGTAGTCTTGCATCCTGTTGTTTAGAAACTGCCCGCAGTCAAACCCACAAAGGGGGTACTAGTAGGTGGTACTTCTGGCCCCCAAAATTGAGCCCGTGACTATATACTTCAGGAGCCCCAACAATAACGTCGCGTTGCCCGGCCCCCTGAAAAAAACGGCGGAATGAAGATTCAGGGTCCCCAAATTCAATCTCAATCTCTAGCAATGCTATCAACTGGAAACTCAAAATTGGCCAATGTCACAGCAAGACTTAGCAATGCTAAATCAGTCGATGTTGGCCGGGGAACTTTCTTATGAGTACTCCTTCTTTTTGTTGGGGGGGGGCTTTGCTAATCCCAGGTCGCCATCACAACCTTTTGTTTCTATCACATGTTGTTGGGGGGGGTGGCGATGGATTCCCTTGATATGGGGGTGCGTTGCCCAATTCCAGACTTGGCAAGGCGGAAAATCATGCTTCGCCCTGGCCAACCAAGACAGAACGCATTTCAGATGCCTGCCCTGAATTGGCCCTATTCAAATGCCTATGTTGAAGGTCTATATTCAAAATGGATTAGGGGGTGGATTTCTGTGTCACCGTGAGGGGTCACTAGATAGTCGGATTTCCCCTCTAAACGCCTACTGGCGGGTTCCGATGACACGAGCTTCCTCCAAATAAGGCCTTATTAGCGTCTAATTTTGGGGAAACCTCTCAGGGCACGTCAAAACGGCGATGCTTTCTGTGTCGTTCTGTGGCCAAAAACGAACCAAAGAACCAACCCAACCTAAATACCCTCCCCGTTTGGAAGACGAGCGTCCTCTTGGAATGGGAATCTGTGCACTTCCATGGGAGGGTGCGCACCAGACAAAACCTTCAAAACACAAGCATCCTTTCCAGAACCAGACCCTCTAACTGGTTTGGATTGGTGGTTTGGTGATTTGGGGTTGGTCTCCCATTAAGCCTCTACAAGAACCTGGGGTTCAACCTCCAAAACCACGAATCCAACCAACTTACCAAGGGTTACCTGAGTTCAGAAAGCCACAAGCAAAGCACGGACCCCAGTCACATTGCCTGAACGGGATACCAATACTTGGGTTCCTCTCTGGATGTTAATCCTATCAAGAAGGACCCACTCAACCCAGGATTGCCAGGGTGGAACCCAGCCTGGGACATGCTATGTGTGGGGAATGGTGCCATCTACCCTGGGCTGTCCAAAGCGGCTGTGCCTTTGATCATGGGGGCTGGGGGCTGGGGAGGGAGGGAGGGGAGGGCGGAGGGAGCCCCAACAGGCCCTAAATAAGGCCTTATTAAGGGCTCAACACTTAAGAAGGGCTTATTTGGGCTCCCTCTCCCTCCCCTCCCACCCAGCCATGATTTGAACCGCCTTGATCCTTTCTGCCCGTTCGACCGAACTCGCCGGGCGTCTGTGTCTGACTGTCCATGCCTGTCTTGACACCGCCGGGGGGCTTCGACCGGTGCTTTCCTGGGAACCGCAGCCACATGCGGCCAGTCTCAGTAACTACTTGTGAGGGGAACCTCAAGCAATACAAAACAGTACCAAAAACATTACATCAAGCAAGTCAAAGAAGTGTCCAAATCATTAAATTAAGCGAGTTTGCCAAATAAAAGAAAGAAACCAGAACCTCCCAAACTAGAACATGGAGCAACCACCAATACAGGGAGCGAGTGAAAGTCAGCCAGAAAGGCAGCCAGAAAGGCAGCCAGAAAGGCAGCCAGAAAGGCAGCAAGTGAAAGTCAAACACGGTTCAAAATAGACGCGCACGATGGAACAAAGCAAAAGGCAAGCTGTGTCAAAAACAGACATGGTAAACCGCTTACAAGACTGGAACAAAATGGAGGAAAGCCGGAAAACAGCAAGGGAAAACACAAACAAGTAAGCCAAATACGCTACTTACCAAACTAAAGATTGAACAACCCAAAGTTTCAAGTGAAGCACGAAGAAAGTACAAAAAAAAACAGTACGCCTTTGGTCTTGCAATGTTTCGCAGGGATGGCAGGATCTCCAAGTTCTTCACCGAGCCCAGCAGCTTGCTGTCCGGCACCTGCCGAAAGCTCTGACTGTCCAACCCGGTGGATGTTTTACTACAAGTGCCTTAAAACAAATTTAAAAGGGGTTGCGGATTTCTGTAAAACCACATGTCACTCTAGGGGTAAACTGTGAGTAATCATGCTGCGCCTTCTATCACAGCGGTCATTATTTTTGGAGGGGGCCCCAGCCCCAACTCATAGGAACAAATTTTACTCAGATCCGCCTTGAAAACCACTTGCAGGACGGGTTCTATGCAGATCCGTGTATCTCTCATACACGACTGGGGCATATAACCTCCATACTGTCCATACCTTGAAAACCCCTTGGTTGCTGTTGACCCCCCTGCAAAAAGTTTCACTTTTTGGGGGTTTGGTGGAGAACCCAACTTGACTTCAACCAAAAAGTTCAAAAGGTCCAACCCAACTGCAGTCAAAACCCATACGCGGAACCACATACTCCGCGCCTTGGGCGCCTTCTTCTTGGGCTCGCTGGCCATCCGCGCGAGCAGCTTCTGCATGCCCTTCCGGCTTCTGACCTCCTCGACGCGCTGCGGGATTTTCCGCCGGTCTTCTTGGGGGCTCGTTTGAGCAGAGCACAGAAGGGAGCGCGCAGTTCTTGTAGATTTCCCGGCTCACAGCAAATCGTGTAGGAGCTGAAGCAAACCATACGGAATGCGTCAGTTTGGGCGAATTCCTTCATTTCGAGCAATATTTCACTCTGAAACGCCAACCGCCATGTTGGGTAGTTGGGGCCGCTCTGCATCGGGTTGGAACCGGGCTTCGGGTTGGGACAATCAAGCTGAGGAAGCTTACCAAGGACCACCCCATTTTTCTGACCTATGGAACAGGTTCCCAGCAACATCCCATCAGGAGAATCCCACCAAGGTCCCCGGACCATGGTCCAAGTCGCCAGCCCCTCAAGTTGCATCCAAGGTGCTGGAGCCATGTAGCTCTGCCAGCCTGATATTTTTTTCCAGGGGCCCCTGATTGAAACATCGCACCAAAGTCTAAACAGGTGGCCCAAAAGGTGATGTGATTGCACCAACGTCTAAACAGGTGGCCCAAATGCTGGTGTTGAAACAATGTAGGGAACCCTTCTTGATGTGCGGGGGCTAATAGGGGAGGGCTATCGCCGGATTAGCCTAAGCCAACAAAGCAGGTGCGTATCCCCGGCCTTTGCAGGTTTTGAAGCGATGCTAAAACACCAAACCATGCCTGGAAGGGTGCCAGTGGCCATTTCCCTGGAACACATCAGAGTGGACTGGCAAAAAAAGAGCTCAAGCTTCCTTTTAAAGCTCGGCAGGAACGGTCGGATGGGGCCTTCTCTTGAAACTAAAGTGGATTTGGGTTTTCATTGCACACCAATTGCTAGTTGAGACTACTGTGACTACCTATTTGTTGAACACATCCCCAAAATCTACACGAGGGAAAACAACATAAGGAAACAACAAGAAGACCACGGCGTGTGGACGGAGCTTTTTTGAGGGCGCGAAGCTTGTGTGCGAAGCCCTGCGAGGCTCTTGACCGCCTTTTGGTTAGGCCCATTTAACATTTAGAGTGGTATGTAACTCCATTTAATCGATGACTAGATCAACCCGCTTTTTACCAATCCTGGAGGTGGACAGGGGGGCTTCCCCAAGATGAAGGTCTTCCGAAACTGCCAGCTTGAGTTGGAGGGCTATCCTTGTGTCACTCAGAATAGGGGGATCTCTACTCCGTATTCCGAGGGAAACCACACCTGGCGCTAGGATCGATTTCGAACGATTCCTCGACAGGCGAGCCCTGCCAAAACTCTATACCCCCAGGCTAACATGGAAGCTCCCTGAACCCCTTTGGAAGACGACTTGGTTCCATTTACAGTGGCCTTTTAGGAGCTTCCATGAAAATCTGAGGGAGTGTACATGGCTTGCTTGCTTTCGCCCAGAAGGGGGTCCTAGAACCTCCCTTTGAATTCCTTTGAAGCAACCCTCCAGGCAGTCTCCAAACACTCGCAGATACAACGAGGTTGCACAAGACCAAACACATTATATATATATATATGCACGTCCAGGCCCCCCAAAATGGTCTCCCGCAAACAAGGGGAACCCTCAAAAACATGACCCTTTTTTACATGCAGTGGTACCCCCCACCCTCTTGTGTCCTCAAAAACGCCCACCCACCTGCTGTTGCGATAGCTAGGGAATGTGAGAACGAACCCGTCCGCTTAAAGTTGAAACCAGCAGTTGGATGGTTTGAATCGGGGTCATTCCATTCCTCAGGGCCCCGGCATCTCCCGCACCAAGAATCTAGCCGGCTCATTTGAACTGCAAGGTATCGGTATCCTGCATCTGGCGCTCTCACTGCAGAGCACCAGCAAGGGAAGGGGGTTTTCGTAAAATGACCCAACCCCAGAACCCTCAAATGACAAACTTCATGAACTGGGTTCACCAGCCCTGAAGTAAGGTGGCTGGAGGGATATTCCCCACATGAACCACCATTTGGGGTGAGGTCGTGTGAGGTCGTTATAGCTCACCCAGAATCATCGGAACGCAGGATCCACCTTTCGCCTCCAAATAAACCTCCAAACAAACCCATATAGCAAACCCCAAATCTGTGTCCAAGTGAGTTCCGGTTGGTTTCCCTTTCACACACAAACCTGGGCTGCCCTCAGATCCCCCGCAAAAAGTTTCAACTTTGAGTGGGTTAAATGGAAACTACCACTAAACCAGCTAAAAAGCTAGAATTCACCCAGAATCCAACCGGAACCCAGGCGAAAGCCGCCGAAGAGTACCCCCAAAGCTGGGCGCGGGGCCCAGCAGCGTGGGCTTGGAGCTGGGCAGAGGCTCAGAGGCGCGCTCCGCCGTGCCGAGGTCCGCCAGCTTCAAGCGCATGGTGCCCATGCCTAAGGCCATGCCCAGCCTTTTTTCCCTCGGGAGAAAGACAAAACACTGGGGGATGGGTCAAAAGTTCAGGCAAAAAAACGGTGGGCTTTTACCCCACGCAAAAATAATAATGAGTAAAGAACAGGGGGTGTGAGGCAAAATGCCTCAGATGGCAAGGCAGGCCTGGCTTTTCCCACGAAACCCAAAAATAATGATAATAATAATAATAAAAGAAAACAGGGGGAGGGGAGGGGGGGAAGATTTTTAGATTTATTTATTTTTGTGGGGGGGAGGGGGGTAGGAGTCAAAATTTCTTTGGCACCAAACAACCACTAAAAAGGGTGGGTAGTGCTGACCGCATGTTTGCATCGACCAACCTGTCTATTAAACTCGGGGGTGCTTCTCCCTGGGTACCTCTTTCAGGCAAAAAAGAGGGAGAAAGCTCAAAAACCAGTTCAAAGGGTGCGCTTCAGGTGGTACGGTGGATGGTTGCGAAATCCGCTTCTCGCACCACCTAAGAAACCCAACGGAATGATTCGCTTCCCCAGCGTCAATACCTACAACGTTGTGGTTTCAACCATGGTTTCTTAGGTGGATGTGTGTTTAAGAGGCTTTCAACGGGGTCTCCTTGTTCCGTTGTTTGCTTTTGAAAGATCGCGCATTTCCGGCAGAACATGTTCATCCCAGGGGTTGGAGTAACGTGTCGCAGCTTCACTTTAGTGTGGTGAAGAGCATGCTGTTCAGTGGCACCCTTGTGCCCGTGTTGTTCGGTGGGCTTCCCAATGAAAGAAGGTTCCGGTTCTTGTTCTATTGAATTCTATTGTTCGGGTCACTGGCGACGGTTGAAAGTTTCTTTGGGATTTGAAGGGAAAGCTGATGACCTTTGATTTCTGGGTCCTTCCCCTTTGGCCCAGAAAGTTGATACTGCGGACGGACAAAATCCATGCGCACCTCCGAAGTAACCATGGTTGAAACCATAATGTTTACATGTTTTGCCAAATCTGGCAGGACACCAAAAGGCCCCTTGGTTTCCCAATCACACTAAAACAAGGGAAGCAATGGAAACTTAGGGGTTGGCATGCGCTTGAGATTTTGGGCTCTACTGTCCCTTACTAACCTTCGTCTCCATGAATGCCCACGACAGGTTGGGTCGGCCCCAAAGTGCACCAACTGCACGCGGAATTTTCGTGCGGGCTGGCCCTTGCATCTCCAAGTACTGATGCGCGCTAGGCAGGAGACCTGAAAGAGGGGTCAATATATATATATATATATATATATGGTCAGCCCGGTATACTGGATGAGGGCAGTAGCATGGGCTCTACACGAAGGGTGTAGGGGAACCTCAAACCTGTGGTTTTCGTTTTGGTTAACCAACCCGGAAAAAGGGTACCCACACAAAATGACAAAACTACACGCAAAACAAAACAATCAGAAGGAACCAAAATACGCGACAAATTCCGAAAGGTTCCAAGCGACTTTTTTTGACTTTTCATTCATGGGGCTCCGCCCCGCCCTTTTAGTCGGTCGCTGCCCGCGAAATGCAGCTCCCCTCCATTGCGGTTAAGAAAGTTCTTTGTTGGGTTTGCTTCTTGCGACGCAGGATTTGGCCCATCCACGGTACCCCCATTCCAACTCTTCAGCCGCCCACGTTGGCAGGTGCCGTGCCGTCCAAAACGCCGTCCCTCCGCAGGCGCACGCTCTCCGGGCTCAGCGCGAGGTGGTACACCCCGCTGCTGTGCAGCGCCGTGAGCGCCGCCATGAGATCCTGGGCACCTGAGGCGAGAGAAAATCCGCAGCTGAGCGTGCCCAACTACGAGTAGGCTTTGGCAGCTACGAGTAGGCTTTGGTAGGCTTTTGTTTTTCTTGTCGGCTTTGATGGGCTTTAGCAGGTGTTGGCAGGTCACCAAAATTTGTTCGGCTTTTGCAGGCTTTTGCTGGTAGCCCTTGCCGCTTGCCCGTGGTGCCCCTGTTTAAGTTGCCGCCCCCTATTCATTGGACGGGTCTAGTCATTCGGGACTCCCATTTTGTGGGGAGAGGTGGAATGTGCAGGTTTCGGGTCAACTCTTTGAGGGCGAAAGATTAATTTATTCAAGATCCAACCGCAAAGCCGCCACCAACTGTTTTTCTTGCCGTGTGGCAACTGGAGAGGTGTGGAAGTGGGGAAGAAGCGACAACTTGGGAAAAATACACAAAGGAAGGACATTATATGAGGAAACATGCCGCTATTTGGGCATACACACATTACTTCATGTTGATATTCTGTGGGGCCAAGCCAACTCATGCAACATATCGCTTGCACTTATGATTGAGGCGACTTCTCTCTCGCCAGGGGTCTTTGGTATAGAAGTGTTGGTCAGAGGCCCTCTGATGACTTTTCGCAGCGGAAAGAAAAAGAGGAGGCTCAGAAAAATCTGAAGGGTCTGCATAGAAACCGTCTCAGCAAGGGGGCCTTCCTTTAAGACTTCTGTGACAGCCCCAAGGTCCTCCGAAAATGAGAGCCCATTGGAGTCAAGATGAGTCAAGAAAGGTTGCATGGTAATCTTTATACGGAACAAATTCAGCGGATCGCAATGACCTGCTTTCGGATGGTGCAAACGACAACTCAGAAGAACAGCCGCAAGAAAACCGAAAGCCTTTTCCATATCCAACAGCCAAAAGACATATTGAGGCTTGAGGGTATGACTCTGGAACCGTTGCGTTGGACGCTGCTTTCCACACAAGTATCTCAGCTTTTGCCCTCAACTAAACATGTGTTTACCTCCTGGTCCATATTTAGCAAGCCAAGTGTAAAATGAAGTCACTGAAGAGACAAACTGAGTTGTTTTGGAAAGAAATGGCCAATGTGCTATTGATGAGTCCGATCCCTTTTGGTTCGACCTTCAGAGATTCTGGGGCAGCCTTCTATGTTTGAACAAAACGAAAGGGCTTAGCTTGAACAAAAGGAAAGGGTTTAGCCCCTTTTTGAGGGTGTCTAAACAATTGTGAACCCACATCCCATTTAGGATGCTTATAGCCACACTTGCAAACAAGGAAAAGACGAGGTTGTCTTCCAAAGAGGGTCCGCGCAACAAACCATGTCATCAACGTTTGAGGGCAACAAAGGAATAGCTGACACCATCGGAAAGGGCCCAACCAGTAGCTCGATCCCAAGTTTGCTCCCAAAGCCGGCCAAGAACACCTAGGAGGCATCCCCAAGGCCCAGAACCCCAACCCGCAGCTAGTACTGAGCCCGGCAGAAAGCACACAGCTTTCAGCTGCGAGCCGGGGGAAATTTTAGCAACCAGGGGAAAACGCGAAAGACAGCAACGGCGTTCAAAGAAGCAGCACTTACTCCTCCTTCTGGCAGCCGTTTGCATCAACTGCGGTGTTGGCCAATCCTAATTCGTAACCCTCATCTCGGAAACCACTACCAAGCGGGGCCACTACCCAGTGGGCTCCGTTGGTTACCCAAGCTAAGCATCTTGCTAATCTTGCGGATTGCCGCAAACATGGCAAGCCCGTCGTTCAAGACTTGCTCGACGAGGCGCATTGGTCCTTGTCCCTCACCGTCAAGGTTTCCGAGTTGGAGCCTTGAGGCGCTAGCTCGTCCGTGTGCCCCGTGTTGTCTGGGAACCACAAAAGGGGCTCTGAGAGGTTTGGTTCATTGGGTTGTACACCTCCTAAATAGGGGGGTTACTGGCATGTCCACGTACCTAACAGAAAGATACTTGTTTTGCCCGCCACAAGGGCAACCCCGAACAAAGTAGTTAAATGGTGGTGAGTCAGCCCGAATAAACAGCTGATTGTCTTGTCCTCTCGCGCTCCGTGCGGTATTATATCATGCAACAGTGAATCATACTAGATACACGTTAATGTTGACACCGTATTAATCAGCCCCATTTTATGAATTGGGGTGTCCCTGGGTTTAGTGAGAAATCATCACTTTTGCAGGCAACCACCCCTCTAATAATAAATATAGGGCCAACATTGCTTGGACTTAAGCCAAAATTTCCAACAGCAACCAGCTGTTGGGGCTTTCATCTCGGAACCTTGCTTGGAACCTTGCCCTGAAACCTTGCTTGGGCCGTGTGCCTGGAGCGAGGGACCTGAAAGCTTGCTGCGAACTTTGCCTTGCGTAGAAACCTTTGCACTGCTTGGACCCCATCTTTCTGCTCCAAAGCGGAGCCTTTTGCATTGGAAGGAAGGACCTTGGAAAGAAAGGGGGAATACAACCATACACCACAAAACCATGGTAAATTACGGCTTCGAAGGCTTGCTGGTGCGACAGGTTGGGATGACGTTCACGTTTTTGGGAATAAACTGTTTGGGGATTCCCTTAAAGGAAATCATAGGGGATCCTTTTGTTCGGAGTCATTCCATTCCCTCATTCCCTGCGGAGAACAAGCCATGAGGAAATTGGCTTCCGAATGTTCTTCTGCAATGTCTAAAAAGTCCAGGGGCCCAGCAACCAGCAACCAACAACCGCAACAGCAGCAGCAGCAGGGCCCAAGAAAACGACGGCAATCGAACGTCTTCGCAGCCGAAGGGCTCATGATGGTGGCCAAGCTCTCGCCGAAGTCTTCGAAGAGCAAGATGTGCGCGCCGGTGTCCGTCTTCACCTCAAAGGCGCCAAAACATCCGGTAGCGCAAAAGGAGCCGGTGAGAAAAAACCCCAAGCTGAGGAAACATCCGGTTGGTAACCCAGTTCCGAATCCGATGAGGGCCTTTTACAGGGGTCAAGGGCTCTCCCCTCAGGCAAAGGAGGTTAAACACGAAGAGTAAAGTCAACACAAGCTCAGGTCGGTATCTGCCGCTCTGTTGCTTGGAGCTGAAGTGAGAAAGAATCTGGCCAAGACCTCGCTGTTGTATGCCCTCCTACCCACTTTGCCTTAGGGGGAAATGAACCAGGAGCCCCGAGGCTCCATATTGGCGGGTGGAAGGGTGCGGTACATTCAGGCTTGGTACCAATTGATGGGGCCAATTTGCAAAAGACGAACCAAGTACACAACCCAATTCAGAAACCATGGTGATGACCCTATACAACTGGATTGACCTTTTTCCCAACCCCGAATTGAAAAATCATACACCTCGGCCCCTGCTTATGTTTTCCACTTAAAAAGAATCCATGGGATTTGGAGATGAAAAGAAAAGTGGCCCAAATTGTTGTTAGATCTGGACTGGGACTCCTACTACCTAAGGGCGCTCCTAAGCAGGAAGCTGTGTGCTCCCCACACACAAAAAGAAAGCTCGCTGGCTTGAAATCAGCGCAAATGATTTCCGAAACATAAATGACATGCCCTTTGCACTTCAAATCCAGGAAGAACTCAGGGTGCCCAAAGCGATGTTCGGCAGCTAGATCAGCTCCAACCGACCCCAGAGCAACCCAAAATCACACCCATCCAAGCCAAAATGTACTACCTCCAAGCGTCCCCAAGCCCTTCGCGCGCTGAATTCCAAGACAGCCAGAAACATGCAATGAAGGAGTTCTAGGTCTGCTGCCCAAACTAACTAGGCCCACCGACCCGCCCACCCACCCACAGCCATCCGAACAAACCCAGGTCATACAACAACTTCTAAGCACATCTAATCCCAAGAAAGAGCATAGAATGACCCCATGCGAACAAACCCAGGTCAACAACAACTTTTCAGCACATCTAATCATCTAATCCCAACAAAGAGCATAGAACGCATGTGCACGGCCCCGCGTCAACAGCTGCCGGATGCCATCCGGAAGCCGGCTGCCCTCCGGGGCACGTAGCCCTCGAAGCGCAGCACCTGCTCCGGCGGCCCAAAGGTCCCCGAGATGCGGCGGTGCGCCGCGGTGATCTCCTCCACGGCGCTCGGTGCGGTGATCTTGGCGATGTACATGGTACCCTGCCGTGACGAAACGTGGGACAAACACATGGCAGTGTCTCAAAAATTGGCGGGAAACCCAAAAAGGTGCGGTTTCCTTTAGATATACCGTGGGAACTACACATGGGGTTGTCTTTTTTCGAGGGTACCCCTTTTTGCAGTTTTAAAGGGTAACCAAAAGCAGAACCTGCCATTTTGCAGGACCCCTCAAACAAGACACACCCACATGGTGTGTCTCAAAAATCGGGGAAACCCAAAAAAGGTGCGGTTTTATTTAGATTTACCGTGGCAAGGCCGAGCAGGGTACCCTGCCGTGACCATACGTCACTCGTCTTGCTTCTTCGATCACCTGGTTGACTGGGAAAGTACCATTGTCACAAAAAGTTCCTTCTGGGACACTGATGAAACTGTAAGAGCCAGAGATCTGCTACCCTTGTTCAGACAAAAGCGTACACATGGGCATGTCTCAAAATCGGGGAACCTCGAAGAGGCGTGGTTTTCTCTAGATTTCCTGCGGGCACGAAGCCAAGCAGGGTGCCCTCGACAAAAACAAAAATATAATTTACACATCTACAGGTAAACATCAGGGAAAAAACATGCATACTAGATATGCAAATAAACGACATGCACTTGTAAATGAATTATGTAAACAACACATTTAGGAAGAGATGGCACGGGCCGTTGGCACGGGCCCCATCATGTACCCTTTCTATTCAGGGGGTATGCACTAAAGTATGGATATGGGCCATGCAACCAACGACTAGGGAAAAAGCCACACAATAAATATAGACCAATAAGCACATAAATTCAAGTGGACGTATGCACCCAAAGGTGCCTGCAAGGTCCATCTCATGGGATTCTTCCCTTTGCATTCAGATGGGATGCAGAAGGTGAACCTTCTTGGTGCCACTACTAAAGATGAACCAAATCAAGGAAAGCAAAAGGTCAAAAGGTCGACTCGCTTTGGGCAAGTGAGTTTCCCTACAACTGCCCTTCTAGCGGTCCAACTTAGGCCGAAGCGCCCTCTGAAAAGGGTAGGGTTCAGTGGGGAAGTGCTGGAGGCACCGAAAGAAGAACATGTTGGAAGCCCACTGAAGTAGCTGATCCATTCCCATCATACCAAAGCACGCAACCCCATCAAAGCAGCCAACAAAAACCACCAGGCCTTCTTTTTCTTTTGGGGGGGGGAGGCGGTTGTACACACACAACTGGTGCCCCAAATCAAATGAAACTCGAACCAGGTGGACTCCCTCCGACCTCTCGCCCTCTCTCGGCCTCTCTCGGCCTCGCTCGCCCTCTCTCGGCTTCGTCGCCGCGCCTTGTGGAGGAAGTTGGAGCCCAGGAACCCCGCGCCCACCACGCGGATGCGCGCCGTGGGCCTGGACCGCCAGTCGCTGCCCAGCTCCCGCACCACCTGACGCCAGCCGAGAGGAGACGAGAGACGAGGCCGGCGGGGCTCGGCGCTCGTTTTTTTCGGGGTGAAAATCCGGCAGTCGTTGAAAACAGGGTGGTGGACCCTCAAACTACTAAACAAAAAGGGATTCAGCCCATCATCTTGGGACAGGAACCAGTTTTTGAGGGAATCTTGAGGGTTTAGGGTGGTGGTGTGGAGCTTCCTCATAGCTTTCTTAGAAACATCAGCCCCTCGATTGAAACATAGACTTCCGGAGCATGGCACCCTCAAATTGCGGCATGGGTGTGGCTAAGAGGTCATGGGCTAGATGGCCAGATTGAATCTTTTGAGGGGCGGAACCGGCTGAATTTAGGGTAGTGCTTTGGCTTCGTGAAACCAACCCAAAACTGCGCAAACTTCCCCCTCTGCCCTGGTGTCTTCCAAATAATTCGGCTTTGGGGAACAGGGGCAGGTAGGGGTGAGGGGCGAGGCAGTTTGGATTGTATGCAGCTAAATATACATACATAGGTCAAACTCTTACTCAGCTATAGGCCAACCTGGGCTCTACAGGTGCACTGAATACGAGGGCGCCTTGGTTGCTATGAAGTGATTAGCCGGGGGTGGTTTCCCATTTACCCGAACCTTGTGGTTGCCATGATCAAGGCCTACCCGCTTCGAGCAAAGTTTTGTAGGCAGGCTCAGGGTGGGGGAGGTCGGGAGAAAGTGATGCAACAGGCAAGGCTAAAAGCGGATATGCCTTATGCCCCAACTTTACCCTCCAAGGAAACATGAAAATTGCGACACTGTGAGACCTATAAAAGCAATACAGTAGAAACCAGCACCCGGGTTTCTGCGGCGATTTAGCTGAAAAAATGAAAGCAAACCGCTAGATGAAGTGTTCAAATTGGAGGCTTGGCCAGTTCCAAGCGCCCATCCCAGGGAAATGACTACAAAAAGACCCTAACCTCAAGCCGAAAGACTAGCGGATTGCCTTTGAACATCCCGGACAAATTCAAAGTCACAGGTCAAGTTGTTGTTTGGCCGAAGTTGGGCGTGATGTTGAATTGGGAAGCCTTGGTAAACAAGACTTACCGGGGGGGTGGGGGGCGGGAGGTTCCGCCCACCAACCATTTTGCAGGGCGAACCAACCAGAAACAATCCTAGCCATCATAGAAAGCGGAACACTACCTCAGCCATATTCAGCAAGCCTACAATGCAAACTCATTTCGAATAAATCTCAGCTCAGAGCTGGACAAATACAAACAAGAACAATCCATACACGATTCGGAACATGGGGATTGGACAGTTGGGGACAAGTCCTTTGGGTGCCGAACGGAATATTGATCACCCCCACATCTTCTCACTTCCTAAGTGGATCAGTACAATAAAAGTCCGAACTTGGTTTACCACTGAAATGTTCTACCCGACAAGTTTCAAGCCCAGGAACTCAGGAAGCGAACGCTCCAGCGTCCGCGGAACCGCGCGGAGTGCTGGTTTGGCCCGCCTTGAAGCTGAGCCGCGCATTGGCGGCATGCAGCAACGCTGCCACCTGCGAGTCCCATGAGGGATTTCCAACCCCGGGTGGCCCGGGTTATTTTCAAGAGAAAATCCAACAAGCGGTTTTTTCAAGGGGGGAAATCCAATCTCCAGCTGTGGATGCAGAAAGAGATGCGCAGAACCTCCTTGATCTTCAGTGAGAACTGCAAACTCTGAAAGGAAAGCTAACCCTTGGAGACGGTTCACTTCGCATTCCCTGCTGAGAAACATGCCAGGAACAATGAATCTGGTCTAACCCCTGATTCTAGCAGCTTTGGTTTCCTATGGCTCCATTTTAGCATGTCTCATAAAGAAGGATGGATTGCTTGAACTGAAGCTACAAGCGAAAACTGGATTCTGTGAGGAGCTGTCTTCTTGGGTTGCCTTGAAACCAAGGTAAGGCTGAACCAAGGCTAACGATTCGGGTCGCTCGGGCCATTGAGCTCAGTTTCCTGGACCAAGCCCAAGCTTGCGCCTCAGGCCCAATGGCTTCTGCCAACATAGCAGCAAGCTCATATCTTTTGAGCTTCTACTTCCATTTGGCCAAGGCCCCGGGAAAAAATGAAAATATTTCCAGTAGTGATGAGTTCCTTTTAAAACCAACAAGGGGAAACACATCTTAAGCAAATGGAGGCCTACGTTGCTGCACATCAAATCTTTTGACTTGGTTGCTGTTGACCCCCCCGCAAACAGTGGGTCCAATGGAACATCCACAGTTTCCCGCAAAGTTAAAATCCAAACATCAGTTGCCAAATAGCCATGCAGTTGCGGGCTTCAGTCTCGTGACACAGCCTGGAACTCCACATCCTGCACGTTCCGCGAGAGGCGCCAGAACAGCGGCCCTGGCTTCTTTTCGCGCTGGTGCTCAGGGAATGAGGGAATGACCCTTATAAACCATCCCCTTTCGTGGAATCCCTAGGTTCAATACCTACCTATCGCACCAGCAAGTTTTTCTCCCCTGGCATTTCCGGTTCTCTAAGAAGGACTCCGGGAAAGCCAGCGGGCGATCGCCCTACTGGGCACGGGGAAAGCCACCGGGCTAAAAGGTCGATTCGCTTTGGTTGCAAGTGAGCCATGAGCCATGGCTTGACTCAAAACTCGTAGCGGTTTGGTTGCCCCTAGCATCCACCCTAACACGGTTCCTTAAATGATATATCCCACAGCTTCACTTTACAGGGGTTCCTGTTGGTATCACAGAAAGTGCCCCCATGACCTTGAAATCACTCATTGGCCAGCCTGGCAGAATTTCCCAGGAGGTGCCCGCGTCAAAGGTGGCCGCGATGTCTCCCAGTACCGCCTCGTGGTAGCTGTCGCTGTCCTCCTCCTGGCGAACTCTTGCCCTTTGACCTTTGGTACGGTGGATACCCTTGGTATTTTGAGGCTTGGAGCATCCAACAAAATTGAGGTTGGTTGATTATGGCTGGCCTGGAACAACCGGAAAGTCATACCAAAGAAACAAATGCTTATCTTTTTGTGGGTTAGTGGGAAAACCCAAATCTCCACAGCTCAGGTGAAATTCTGAAAGATCCAAGCAGCCACATTTGAGAGGAAAGCCAACCGGCCTGCTGGGTAACTGGGACCGTATGGCAAAGGACTGACATGTTTTCTAGCCCCCTCACGAACAGACCCCCGAAATAACAACAAGTGAAAAACAACAGGCCAAAGTGAAGACTGCATTTTTCTTTGACTTGCACCGACTCTGAATTTCAACGAAATCTGTCTGTTGGGCAAACCGGGCTGGTGCTACTACCTTTTCTGTTGAAAGAAACACACACACACACCTACAAATACATTTGTTTGAGAACATCCTGCTTCGCTGTTTATTTGGTGGGTTGCCCTCGAATAACTGTCCTGTACCAGTCACCGGGCACAGGGGCCATGCAACCGTCTTAACGGTTTGATAAGCGGGCAGCCGTTCCCCCGCTCGCCATCTGTAACACCAATGCTGCTTTGTGAGTTCGTTCAAGGTGCTTCTCAAAAAGGAGGGGCCAAATGTGTGCGATTCACACGTTTGGCATCCCTTGAAAATCCTAGGTCCTAGATGGGTTCTAACAAATGGGTTCTAGGATGCATGTCCTTGCACCCCTGGCAACCAACTGAAACAAACCTATATTTTTTCTCTAGTCTCCGGTGCGGGGGATCTGGGGAACCCACATTGCCTTCAGTTGGGAAAAAGTGGCCTGCTGAAGTTACCTTCCAGGGGACAAAACACCCAACACCCTGGGGCTGTACATTTACATGGGGGCTCATCTGCTTAGTTCCAGGTCTCCAAACATCAGGAAATTCCCTTTGCAGGAAATCCATCCCTCGACCATGGCTCTCCACATATTCCCCTTTAAACGTTCCACCAAAAGGAAACTCACTTCAAACCTCCAAGTTGCTCGATGTTCAGAAATTCTAACCTCTGCTCAAATTTTGCTCCCCTTAAACCAGGCAACATTTGCTACAAGGTGATGCTTCTAAGCACCCAAAGAGGACACATATGGCACCTCCCACTTTGCCGGGCCTTCAAAACCGAGGGCTGCCTTCAACCCAGCCCTTTGAAACATGACCCGACCCCTTTCTTGAAACTTCGTCTTCGCTTCGTGGGCTTCACCCACTGAACTCCATGGCTGGGAACTGTGGGTGACTTCAAGCAACACCCGGCCAGAAACCGGAGATTCAGCTTGTGAAGTTGCGCAGTGGGATGAATACACAATCCGGGGTTGAAATCAAAGTGACATCCTCCGAGTTAGTTACACCCTACGGCGTTTGAAGAGAAACCAGGCTGAAACAGCAACACAAGCGAAACCCCTCAACATGTTCAGTTGCAGGGATCTAGTAACCCCTTCTCTAGTAAAAGAAGAAGGGCCTTAGGGGGTCTACTTGGCCGTCGTACTTCCTGAGTGGATCAGTGAGAACAAGTCTGAACTTTTGTTCACCACTGGACTTGTCCAACCCGAAAAAGTGAGTTGACGTCATAAACCCAGTTCCCCTTCAAAGTCTCAGTTGTTCAGTGACCCTGGGAAAAAAGGAACCCTTCTTGGGGACGACCATTTTTAGTGGGGCAACCACCGAAGAAAAAAAAAGGAAAAAGGGTGCCACGTTCCAGGGCCAAGCTTTCCGGGGCCCTTCCGCGCCTGGCGCTGCTGCAAGGTCAGCGTGGCACCACGAGGCAGGACCACCATCTGGGCGGAGTCCCTGCACGTGGTAAGGGAAAAAGGGGGCAAACCCAAAGCTTCAGTAGAAAGAAATAAGACATATAATGTATATATATATATATAAACATATTTATTATATATCTCTGTATTATGGGAAAAGGCCTCCTGTCCCACCCTTTCTGGATTTCTGGGTTTGGGGTACCAGCTGCTCGATTCTTTGGGTTCAAAGGAGGGGTCCACCCGGAGCTCTGGATTTCATAAGGGGGCGAATCCCTGAACATTTCGCCAGCCGGTAACGCTGGCGTTTCCAGGATTGACCTTTTTCAACTTTGCGGATGCGTCCAATGGAAAGATCACAAAACAGCCAGCGAACCAACAGGAAAAAAATAGCAAAGGGGAACACGTTTGCCACTGAAAAACTGGGTGCAGGCACCTTGAGTAAACACATGACATCAAGAGCCAGCCTAAAACCACCTCCAAGGCTGGACAGCCGTGCCATATCCAACATCTAGCATCCAACCAGCCAACTCCAAATCCTGCCACTGCCAACCAACCCATACTCTCCTCAGCATCCAACTCCAACTCGTCACCTGCAAAGTTGTAAAATCCGACTCCAAAATTCTTTAAACCTGCAGTTGGCTTCCCTTCAAAGCACCGAATTGGCTCTGACTTGCACAAATGGGCATGTGTGTGTGTGTGTGACAGAGTGCGTGTGTGTGTGTGTATTCAAGGTAGGGGAGCCCCTATTTTCGGGGCGGTTTCCTTTTTGGCTTCCCTTTCAAACCCCTTTCCTTTCAATAAACCTCGTATGTGTGACACGATCAGCTGTCTGTCAACCCCCCAAATGAAAGTTTCCCCTTCGCGCCATTTCCCCAGCAAGCTCCGAACATCCTCCGACGGCCCCGAGGTCGCCCCGAGGCGTGCCGCGCCCAGCGCCTGCGGCGGATGGCAAGACGACAGGTGCGACTCTTCGCGGTGACGTCCAGGTGGGACAGCGGCGGAATCTTCGTGACTTGGCCGCCGAAGGAGAAGGCCATGGCATCCTCGCTCCATCTGATGGGTCGTGTCTTCGAGGTCGTTGACTTGTGGGTTCTTGGGGAGTTTGTTGGGATTCTATTGGAGTCTCTTTTTTGGTTCTTGGGGAGCTTGTTGGATTCCATTGGAGTTTCCTAGGGTTCTTAGGGTTTCCTTGGGGGTTCGATTCGGGTTCTGAGGGTTCTTAGGTGAAGAGCCGTTTGCATTGATATGGAGGTTGTCCGGATATGGTTTCCTATGTACCCAGAAGATCCCGGGGTTATCCAAATCGAAACCACCAATCCAGACCTGAAGAGTTTGCCCGAGATTCAATATCCGGCATAACCCACTCCACATGGAATCCACTGAGTGAGACCTTGTTTGGGGCTAGCCTTGTGTTTCTCCTCCCGACGGCCATGACAAAAACAGAACGTGTAGCATCTTGCTGGCTCTCGAAACCACCAATTGGATGGCTTGTAGGGGTCATTGCCTCATTCCTTGCTGAGCACCAGCAAGTCATCGGAATGCGGAAAAATGTTAAGACAATGCTCAGGATGGGTGGTTGGTTGCGCTCTTCGGCCAGGGGAAGATAGCAAACCGGGATCTCCAGCTGCGCATTTCTTGTTGGAGGGCTTCGCTGTTGCATTCTTATTCTGCTGAGCCCAAATGAGCGACGCCCAAAACCATTGGTTCCACTAAGGTGGGTAGACACAAAGATTCATTTAGGCCGTGCAAAATCCCTCATAAGACCAGGTCGTAGAACCACCCACTAAAATGGGTAATAGGGGAGGGGGTTGGGCGCTGCTCAAATTGAATGCGCCCTATCTTCATGAGTTTGTTACCGTGGATGCCGTCTTGGGTCTCGGCCAAGCAAAAAGTCTTTCACGAAGGAGAGCAACAGATCTAAGCAAGCTACAATTCTCAGGTGCGCGGCCAACATTTTACACCCACAGATACCCACAGTATCCCATTCGGGTCGCGTCTGACACTGGGCGCTGAGGTCAAAGGTTGCGTAACACAGGCCAGTGCCTGACTCCAACCAAACGTAAGCCGAACTCAAGGCCGATTTGCGCGCACAAAGCCTCAGCTTTGGCCCAAATAAGATGTTTGATATATGATTCAGCTTCGTGTCTAGTGAGCTTTCAACTGAACTTGATTTGAAAAGAGATCCCGGCAAAACGGAACCTCACCCCTTTGACCCGCACAATTGACTCAAGCCTTTGCTTCAGGTCTCCCAATGTTTCCCCTTTAACCATCACCCCCAACAAAAGGTGCCACTTGAGGCAAACGGGGAAATCCCGGGACCCCTGTTTGCTTCGGGATGCCATTTTTCTGACCTCCGCGAGTCAGAAGTTCTGCCATCTTCAAGGGACCCCATCGGTGGACTTTCCGCCGATCTTTGGGCAGCGTAAGCGCAGCTCAAGACCTACTGTGGATGGACGAAATCCGTTCACACCACTTTGAACCATGCTGGCTGGAACAGTTTTTCGTTGGTATTTGCAGCATCGTTCCAGGCTTTTGTTTCTTAGGTGGTGCAGGATTTCATCCATCCGCAGTATCTCCGAACGTCACCCCTTTGACCCTTCCGAAAATGGACGCAGCAACTTTCTTTGGCCGAGCATCTTTGGGAAAGGCCAACACGTCCAGCTGCGTTTCAGTGTTGTTCACCAAGCGCACGCAATGCGCAGGCACTGCGGGCTGCTCCTCGTCTTCTTCCTGCGTAACTTGGCTGACTGATCCGAAGCCGCTGCAACAAGTTGCAAAGCCCACTACGCAACTTGTTGCTGTCTCGGCCGTAAGCCCTGCAAACTTTCCCACCTGCCAGTGACAACTTGGAGGTGAAAAGGGAAAATGGTTTCCAAGCTCAAAAGGGATTTCGAAAAGCTGCGTTCAACGAAACGACAAAGATGCAAGCCTTTAAGACACACCCAAAAAGGCGCTTCTCACACCAGTTTTGAAAAAGGACCCCCCCCCCCCCCACAAAGCAAGTGCGATCTGTCATGCCTAAGCTATACCAGGCGGGCAACACCCGAGTTCTTCGGCCCTGTACATCAAAGCAGAATGCTGAATCATGAGCCAAGAACATGGGATATAACTCTACAACTTGTGATAATACCCCATGGCATATTTTGAGAATAAGTGGGACCCGTACAACTCCATCACTTTATACCCCCAGGAGACAACTCTTGCTGGCCTTGTTCGGATTGACCGCATTCAGTGGGGAACCCAAGCAAATAGAAAAAAGGGAGTCGCCGAAGAAAAGGGCTAAAGTCTCTGGCGGTGTTTGACGGTGATCCCGCTAAAAGTTCGACTTGTTGATCTACCTAGATAGCCAAGTTGCTGTTTGGTTCAGTCACTGTTGCTGGTTTTTGGGGTAAAGTGCATGGAAAAAAGCAGCAACTGGCGATCCAGGTAGCACCACTAATGGTTACCCCTGACTAGTACCCCCCCAAATCGACAAGGTTTGGGAGGGGCATTCCCCCCCGAAATAGCTTGAGGTCTGGAAGGGACTTGAGGCTTGCGGAGTGTCAGGGATTTGATTTGGACTATGGATATGCAGAGAAATCTTTGGTGGCCAAGCTTTGGGGGCAAGTTTGCTGGAGCTGTTTAAAAGGGGACCTTTCACAACAAAAGAAACAGCCAGGTTTTTTGGCAAGGGGGTGGCAGGGGGCAACCTTTAATCGGTGGGGTGGGGGGGGTGGAGCGCCCAAACATTATTCATATTGGGGAGGATTTGTTGGGGAAACCTTGTTGGTCCTTTAGTTTTAGTATTGGTGGGGACATGCGGGGAAAGGGGACACCTCTAATCGGGGGGGGGGGGGATTTCTCTTCGTTCCCTCACTTTATGGCGGAGATACGGGTCTGAGACGAGCATGTCTGCCAAAGAGCAGTGAAGGGACCAAATCCCAAACCTGATCTCGCCCGGAATCGGAATCAGAAGTGGAGATCAACCCATAAGGACTCCCTTTCCAGGCAAGAGTGATCCTCCTGTCCGCCCGAAGATGTAGGCAGAAGGAAAATCAGATTTGGAACACGAATGTCTATCTGGTGGTTTGAAGGGGGGTTCCTCGCAAGTGTTTCTTCGAATGAGAACCTTTCTGAACATGCTTGGCGCAAAATCGTGTCTGAAATGGATCTCCCGCAGGGGCGGATCAGCCCATGCCTTAAGGGACCCCTGGATTGGAGTTTACTTCAAGCTTTGCCCAAAGCCTTGTCTGGGAATGGCCACTGTGATACCAAGACAGACCTTCTCAACTATTTCGCCAGAGGTTCCCACACCCTAACCCCAGACTAGTGGCCAGACAGTTTTGCTCCTTTGTTTTGGCCGTTGATTTTCAAGAAGCTCCGGTCTCCCCGAAAAGCTAGACAAGGGACAAAGGAAGCAACCCAGCGAGGCCCGGAACGGACGCCTTCGACGCTTCTCGCCCAAAGAAGTGGCGGGGCACACGGCTGACGCTTCGCCGGCGGCCGCTTGCAGCCTGGGGATAAATGCAACCAAAGGACCCAAGATGGGTGCCAAATTCAGCCATTGGTGGTGTGGGTTGGTGGCTCTTCGTGTTCCGGGGGCAGCATCTCAAGAAGCCCACAAGACAGGGTTCAAACTTCCAAAGCACCAGAACCTATCCAAATCCGAACGCTTCCGGGCATCCCGAGAGGAGTCTCGAGGAGAAAAACGAGTTGCAATCAGTGGTGTCTGCGTTTCACGATGCACCTCTGGTCATTTAGAAAGATACGCATACCCTCCCGGTTTCATTTCGCAGCAATTACGCACTATGTATTCCATGTAACACAATGTTGCATATGATCAAGTTTGCATTGTTGGTGGGGTTCTTTAAAAATGGGACGTGAAACAGAGCAAGGTTTCAACAGTATTGCGCAAATCCTGGTAGCAGAAGAAATCGGAACATTCTAGCTGTACCCACCCCATTTTGTGAAGAACTCTTCTCTGAAGCCGTTCGCCGGGACCTCGTGAAAGTGATGGGCTTCTGATGCCACCCTCTGTGCATTTGGTTGACCACTTTTGCCCCAACCAACCAATGGAAAGAAAGGGCACGTTTTTGGGGTTGACTGTAACAGGAAACCCCTCCAAACAGTTGACGCATGACCAACCTTTTCCATCTACAGCCGCTTCTCCATTCTGCAGGCACAACGAGCACGAATCCATGTTGAGAGGAACGCCCCGGGTTTGCCCCTAGAGCGTATTCGTTTTGATCCGGCTTTTTCCGTATGAGAGGAAAACCCAGCAACCGTCTTCCGGATCTACCGTCGGGCTGTGTGTTGGGGGCCCTGGCGTGAGAGCCGAGCCAACAGCGCCTTCTTCCCGGGACCCCTAAACGCCCTCACGGGGACCTGACCTTGGTGTGCGGTGGGTTCGGCTTCGTGCAATTCCATCAGCAATTTCACCCGTTGCATTCACAGGCAGGTGAAATTTATTCTTTTGCCGTGCAAAAAGCATTCATTTTGTGGTAAACCTCTCATTTCATGAAATTGGACACCTGCGCTACGTTGACAACCGCAAGGTTGCAGATGAAACCGCCCAACCCCTCGTTTTGTGTGAACTATGAACCCCTCCAGGTCCTTTCATCTCAATTGGGTCCCCGGGTCCCTGCCGCCTAAAACCAAAAAAAGCCGCGGCCGGCCAGGAAGCCGCATTGGGTCCAAGTGAGAAGTTTCAGCAAGTGTCACTGGATTTCCAACCAAATGAACAGCTGATCAATTTACAGGTGGTTTCCACCAGTTCAACTGCCACTAGTTGATCAGTTTACCAGGGCGGTTTTCGCTCAAACTGCCACTTCGAGGTTCCCGAGATGTTGGGAAACCCCACCACTTGCAGTTCCAACCGGAAAGAGATGTCCTGCCGGGCGGGGAAATAACTTTCTCCGGGACATCCACCAAAAGACTCGATCGGCCAGAACTTGGTTGACGTTGGAAGGGGAGCAATTTTAGCAGTTAAGTGGGGATTTCCCTTCTAAACCACAATGGCAAAATGTAAAACGCTTCCCAACAACAACCATGAGAACAAAGGAGAACCAAGGAACCCGCGTTCATTTCCTCTGGAAAGCGTGTGTTTACCACACGGTCCAAACCCAACAAGGGACGAAAGTTCAGTAACTCCAGGAGAGGTGGAATCCCATAGCCAGCCCGTAATGTGGATTCAGGGTCTCTCACCTTCAGACACGACATGTCAACCAAAGTCGGTGCAGGGCACACAGCTAGCACGGTGTCTTTTTGTGGCTGGGGTATGTTACGGCTTCGTGCATGCAATACCTTGCCCAGGAGCCCTACACCTGAAGCAGCACACCAAGCAGCACCTGGGTTCACAAAAAAAAAAAAAACACAAGAGTTTTCTTCTCTCCCTCAATTGAAGAACATGTTTGGGTCCAGTTCAAAATGCAACCAAATTAGAACATCTGTTCACTCTCCCTTATTTAAGAACATGCCTGGCTCCATTTTGGCACCCCAACAAGAGGAACAAGCCAACCAAACCAATGCACCTCCCCTTCAGCCCGCCTTGGCTAGAATCGCCGCGGAGAGCCGAAACGAGAGCACCTGCGTTCGCCATGTGTTTTTTCCGTTGTTTTTGTTCCTCCGCGGTGTCCGTGGAGTAAATGGCAAGATTTCCTGAAGCCCCAAGGAAACGAAAGGGGCCATCTGCGTGCTCAACTTTGTGGTTTGAGATCTTTGGAGATTCTTCGACTACTCTTGGGTGAATTCCCTTTAACCCACCCGACAAAAAAGTGCCACTGAATAACTTGGGAAAGCACCTTCAGCCAGCGAGACGCAGCCAAGACTTGTCGATTTTAACCATACGAATCACTTAAAAACCATTGGGTTTGTGAATTGCATAACAAAAACAAATGGTGTGTACTTTAAACATATATATATATATTAACTGCAAAGGACGGCGCAAGCCCGGAACAAAAAAATGGCCAACTTGCATCCTTCAAGGAACCCTGGTTTGATCAGGCAACTTGGGGCCACAAAATCCACGTTGCCCAATCTCCACGGGACCTGAAGCAAGGTAGTGCTCTTGCCGAGCGGGTATTCACCGGCTATAGGTACGCAGTTGGCATGCAACAGCGTGTCGTCCCATGTGTCGTCTTTTCAGGGTGCACTGTCCCAGCAATTTACGGAAGGACATGCAGAAGAAACACGCAAGGAAAAACGAGAAGGAGACCAACCAAAAGGAGATTCCTGCCTCAGCTCGTTCGGAATTCATGTTCATTGTTGCTTATGGTTGCTTCCGTTTGGACTAAGCCTACATGAACATATAGGTCCATCCTTGCTGGTTGGAGGTTAAAACCACCGCCGCGGTCCTGCATCCCGTTCGGTGGACATAGGCTCATTCAGATTTCGTGGTCCCGCATGAAACCCGTCAGACGGGATGGGGTTGGAGCTCATGTCATTGCCCCCTTTCGCTGATCTCGTTGTACCCCAAAAGATCCAACCAAAGAGCCGTGCAGGTGACTCGCGCTGAGGGCATTGGTTCGCAGCATAGCCTCTGCAAAGGGCCAGGTACAAAAAGCCAAACCTTTTGGAACCTAACATCACCCCCCCAAAAGCAATCAACTGGACTATTCGGAGGGGTGTTCCCCCTTTCTTGACTTGAAGGTCTTTTGGCTCCGGAGGCTGTGCCGGACCCCTATAGTTCTCCTCTAACATGGGACGTGCCCAACACGTTCTTCAATCAGGCGGTTTTGCTTTCCACAAATGGGAATGCCTAAGGGTCGATTCGATTGAGGTATGCGTTGAATTTAGGGTGACCGCCACAGTTGCAACTAGTTGGCTTCAACAAAAAAAACAAGGTTGGCTCCCTCTAAACCACGTTGCAATTTCGGTTCCCTCAACAAGGGGTGCCTCAAAACAAAAATCGCCGCGCCCATTTGGGCAACTGGCCTCTCTGGACCCGACGCGTCTGCTTTCTTGGCGCGCCCTGCGCAAAGGCGCGCTCAGGGAAGCGCGGGATGCCTCGCACGTGGCTCCGATTCGCTGCCCGAAACAAAATCGCGCGAAAGGGGAGCAAGAAACCGTTTTTTTTTTTGGCGCGGACCCCCACCAGCAATGAACAGAACGGAAAAAAACAAAAGACTTAAAAACATGCCAAGAACAGTGGGGAACCCGGAAACCCTCTCATTAACTGTAATTTGTCATTGTTTTGTGGTTGAGTATGGTTGGTTTGCTTGCAATATGCAGGGCATCCACCGTTCCCTCAGCAACGACTTCCCAAAGGCTAGGGGTTAACAAGCCTTAGGAACTAAGGCCGGTGACAGGCTTAGACCTCCAAGCAGCTCACTGCCAAGACTCATGGAACAGCAGCGGGTCACCGAAGTCCATTTTTAGACGGAGACGCTGGTCTGGAATCGAGTGGGGCTACAGAACCACTCGGTCCCCCCGTTGCAAACCGAAAACGCTTCTGCATGCATCCACCCCGAAGAGGATCTGGCATGAAGTCCAGTAAGCCCTTCGGGTCTAAGTTAGCCAAGTATGCGAAAGGGCAAAGAAATTTGACTTGTAAAACAGGGCTCTGACTCGATTCTCGCTTTTAGAATCGCGCCAACACCAAAAGCGCGCTGGTACACCCGTGGTCACGCGATTGCAGATCTCTCCGTGCTGGATTTTTTTAGACACATAGACTCTCATTGTGATTCACCCGTTCAGGTCAAGCGGCAGTTGCTCTGGGAAGGCAAAGCGCGCACATGGCCAGACATAACCATAACTAGCTGCATGCGCTCCTGTTGCTCTCCCCACTGCCTGTGACTCTGACCTGCTGAGTTCACGAGCGAAGGCCACACACAAACGTGACTATTTTTTGGTGCTGATGAAACCTTCGAGTACTATCCAAAGTCCGCTTTGGGAAACCCAAAGGTTTGAAGGGAAACCTACCAACCTATCGAACAAGTTTCAACGCCAAGGCCTTTCAAGCAACGGCATGGAAGTAAGTGTCGCCAGTTACTACGCCCCTGACGAATTATTTTTGCAGGTGGAGTGTCCCCAGGAGAACCCTGCAAATGTTACCAGGAATTTGCCAGTGGTGGGTGCTTGGATGTGTTTGGTTCACTTGCTATTTTGCGGCCGGCCATTCATTGTAGCAAGTGTTTGTGCAGAATTCAGCCTGCCGTGGTGCCGTCCCCACGCCGCTCCTGTCTTGGCAAGCGCGATGCAACAGGCACCCATCGGTCTTCTGTCGAATGGCATTGCTTGGGCTATGCGTAGCTCTCGAACAGGCAAATCCCCGAACACGCACACGCTGTGGATGGACATCCAGCTGTACCAATTGGTAGGTGGTAAATTTTAGCTTTAACAAGAGTTCACCAAGCCCAAGTGCTGCAGGACTTTGTCCATCCACGGTACCACCTTTTCTACACAGGGAATTCTCCAGAAAGTGGCAGGTTAAAGCCATCCATGTTCCACAACTCATGCGCACCATGCAAGCGCTTGGCCTGTTCGCAAAGCTGCTGTGGATGGACGAAATCCATTTCGCACCACCTTAAAACCAGGGAAATCATTGCTTGTTGGTGCTTACAGGGGAATCGTCATTTCAAGGTTTCTTGGAAGGTGCAGGATTGCGTCCGTCCAAATTATGTGATACACAAGCCCGGAAACAAGATTGCCAAAAGGCAGCGAGCGCAGCGGGGATCTTCTTTTGTCGCAGCTGACCCACGTCCTACGTCAGCGCCTGACGCCCCTGGCGAGACGAGATGGATGGGCTTGCAACCTGTAACTTAGTGCTGTCCGACAAAATCCACTTCGCGTGCTGTTGGTTGGCTCACATTGGTTTCATCCATCACTGCTGCGAAGCGCAGCTTGGAGGAGAACCGGAGAAAGCAAAGAAAGCAAACATCTGTCCACTATAGCGCTAGATTCTCTTTAAACTCAGCAGGCGAAATACCATATTAACATATTCATTTCAGCAAATGGACGGTAAACACGGAAGGGAACAGCCCAAAATCGGCCAAAACAAAGAAGCAGGGTACCCAGCGGCCATGCAAACCCCAACAGCCAGTCTAAAATGGTTTCCACTGTCCCCACACCGGGTCTCAGCGAACTGATATTATACACAACCAGTAAAGGGCACATGCCCTGCTTTACCCTGGGGGTGGGCATAGGCATAGTGGAAACTATATCATAAGAAAAAAGAGAAAAAACAACAAAACACAAAACAACGCTTGAAGTATAAGTGAAGTATAAGCACATGGACGCTTCTCAGTCTTTTACTTGCCCCGGTTGGACGCATGCCCAGCATGACTGGCCTCACGTGGACATAGAGCTGCCGATTGGCTCTGATTTGGTGGCCGTTGGGACTTGCTCGGGGCTGGCTTTGTGAGTTGTGGGCTGGCTTCGATCTTAAAGAGGGCGGCCTTGGATTCGTTGGGAGTTCAGTGAGGCTTGGCAAAAGGGCTATTTAGGTTGCTGTTGGGTGGGTTTAGGTTGGACATTGGATGGGTTTGGGGTTGGCTTGGAGATGATTTGTGCTACGTGTTCATCTGGATTAGCTGTGCCTTTGGGATTGCTTCGCCCCAAACCTACCCAAAGTCAGACCGGCAGGCAAGCAGGCAGGCAGGCCAGCAAGCAACCAAGCAAGCAACCAAGCAAGCAACCAAGCAAGCAACCGACCAACCGGGGTTAAGCCCTCACCGGTTTTGAGGAGGCTTGACAACATTGTTCCTTCCAGGTTTGGCACACATTTGTCCATTTCACTTGCAGGGGTCTGGAACCAATCGGGGTCAAAACCGTCCATTTTCAGCTCTCAGCAAAGCCCCGGGGCTTAAAAGACGCCTCTGGACGCCAAAAGGAGGCCACTCGGCCAATCGGCCATGTGCAGCCTCGATTTTGCTCTTGTGCTGTCCCTTAAACAGAAAACAGTATTCTTAGGTCACCTTGTGACTTGGGTATCACAAACCGCGTCACCCATTGGACACCTCAAACCTGCAGCGCTCCACCATGCACGCCCCCTGAAGTATGTGCCAAAAAAAACATTTTAGCATCAAGTTAAGCCAATTCAAGTCGACGCCCCAGAAGTCACAACCGACCGCGCAACGCATAACTGGTGATCACCCGCCGGAACCGTGACTCAAACAGAGCAAGGACAAATGGACAAGGAACCAAAGAGGTCGATTCGTATTTCAGTGAGCAAGCAATTGAACACACACCCACAAAAACATGAGGTTTGTTGAACGTGTAACGTGGCCCAACGTGGTTCGTAGGGTCCTTCCTAATCTGTAAACGGTTCGTGGAAGTCAGAAATCCCTGAACCCTAAGCTCAAAGTGTCAAAGTCTAAGGAACAGTCTGGACACCGCTATGGTAGGTAGATTCCCAAGAGCCACAAAAGATTCGAGCGAGGCGTTTTTGACCCGGACCCCGATTGATCAACCTGTCCGAGCAGGCCAGGGGCTCACAGACTCAGCAGCGAGGGTCCCATCCCCTACCACTTTTAAGCGGATCATCCAAGAGCAAAGACAATGGCAACCTACCAGTTGTCTTCCACAAGCACACATTTCGTCTTTCAGGGAGCCTCCCTTTCAAAAGGACAAGTTGAACCCCAACGTAGTTAGTAACCTGATTTTTGGGGGTGTAGACTGACATGGAACCAATCATCTCTGTTGGGCCAGTAGCTTGGTGATCTTCACAAAAGATCCTTGAAAAGCACCATTCCCAGCGTGATGTCACGTGGCTATCAAAATCAATAAGGGACCCTTTGGTGAACATCAGCTAGGTGAAACTTTCATGTCCACCGTTCCCTATTAAGTTTTCTTGGCCAGGTGAATTTGGGGGCAACGAGCGACAAAGCCTGTCCTGAATGGCATGGGTGAAGGTCAGCTGATCAGCCTGCGCGCCCAGGTTTCCCATCCTCGAAATCAGGTGCGCTTGTCTCGAAATAGGAATCGGACCCCCCTAAAATGGTTGGTTTCAAACTGGTTGGTTTCGGACGCCCCTAAAATGGTTGGCCCCAACATGGTGCGACCCAAGAACGAGTACCCTCAAAAAAAAGATACTGCGCTGGTGTTTGGAAGCCTCATTTTGCACGAAGTGCTTAGAAGGGAAGCCGTGAAGAATCCATCCGTTGGGCCCCCGGTTTTCGGTCATTTAAGTGGGGCAACCGGCTGGTTTTACACGTATCTTTGGCAGCCTACTTGAGCTGCTTGAACAAGTGAGATCTCTCTTTCTTAGGGGTGCTGCAAAGACCCAAATAAGGGTTGTCAGGAGTTTAGTATTGACTTTGTACTGGGTCAGCTAAGAGTTTTAGTTGCGGGGTTTGCCTGGAAAAAAAGTTTTGACAGGAGCGGGTTCAATACTAGGCCAGATTAGAGATTTTCGCCACTAAGTAAGGGAAACCAAACAAACGTCCCGATTTGCCGCGTGGTTTCGTACATCTTGCGGCTGGGAGCAACCCACAAATATATTTCACCCAAACCAAAGCAAACCACACCAAAGTTCTAAACGGGCCATGATCATCGCTTAGGAACTCTGCGCAGCGTTGAGACCTCTGATTTTGCCGCCCCCTCTCTCTCTCTTCTCAGATGCCCAAGGGGCCAGGGGAAAGAAAGGGCATCCTTTTTTGCTGGTTGAAGCCTCCCCCCCCCAAAAAAAAGGGCACCACTCGACAACTGGGTCTTATCTCTCTCTCCCGGCCCTTGGCCATGGCCTCGTCCACAACCCCATTGTCGTCGAAGAAAACGTTCAGGTCGTCCTTGTGGAGACCTGAGTGAACCAACAAGCGGTTCCTTCTGCTCACCATGGCATTGATTGGCTCATAGGCCCACCGGCCCACCATGTGGTGCCTAAACGTCCAGGGGATCAGGAACCTTCGAGCTTCAAGGGTGTGGCTTCCAACACCTGAACCATGAAAGCAGCATAAGCTTTTCCAAGGAAGACGTCTTCACTTGCAAAAGAGTTCTTGTTATGTCCAACCTACAAGCATCACCTGACCAATCAAAAGAACTCACAAAAACAGACTGGTCAAGGAGATGCTTAAAGTTCAAAGCAACCTTTGAAAGGGGAAACTTGTTTTGGCCCAAGTGTTGTTTAAACGCACCCTTCTTCCAGTACTGATTCAAAGCCATAGCACGGGGAGCCATATGCCTGCTACTAGTCCTTAGCGGCCCCAGACACTAATGGTCGCTAAGACAGCAATGGTTCTCTGGATATGGCCCTAGTCAAGGAGATTGAGGAAGAAACACACACTGCGGATGGACGCGACATCCTGCACTTGAGATGTGTGAGCCTCTGCCAATGAAATAAACCACCTACCTGCAAGATTTGGTCCGTCAGGACGCAGTATCACAAGCCCCAGACTGCAGATCTGGTCCACGTCATCGTAGTTCCTGACTAGGATGTCCTGGCAAGCCGTCCAACCACTGGCCGGGTTGCTAAAAACCTCATGGGGGGGGGGGTGCCAATATGCCCCAGGCGATCCCAACCTGGGTGGCCCAACCTGAGCTTTCTCCCAACGCGGACAGAGAAACAGAGGAGGAGTGGTTCCAGTACCATTCTGGAAAAGCCAACTCAAACTTAAACTTTGAGAGAAATTGGTGCCACTTATCAGCTTAGCTCCAAGGAAAGAGACAAATCGCCTTTTGGAACTTTCTCGGGGATGCGTACGCTCTCCTCCAGAAAATGCGGGGCTTCGTTTCCAGGTCTTTGCTTGTGAGTCAGTTCTGAGGATTCCCATGTTTTTTTTTTTTTTTTTTTTTTTTTTGGTGGATTCTCGGAAGACAGAACCTCCAAAAAGGGATTGGCCCGAGCCAGCTGGGGCCATGCCTCTTGCGAGGCTCTGACTCGCTATGTGACTGTCCTTCTTGGAGCTGGCAACCTCATGTAGATTGCAACCCAAGGGAAATCAAAGGGCCACCCGAATTCGGGGGGTTTTTCAAAGTGGCCTTGGCCACACTTGCCTCCATTCAACACCCCGAATACAATCGAGCTTCGTTTTGCATCGGGAGTCGAATGACATTTGGACCTCCCGGTTGCCCAGTATTCGAACGGCAGAAACGGGTACCCTTTTTTTGGTTGATTCTAGCGGAGGGGAATCAACCAAAGACCAGGTCCTCCAGTAGAGAGCTTAGGAATAGGGGTGCGCTTTTTTCTGTAGTCCATTTTAGTGGGGGAACCTCCCCCAAAAAAGGGTAAAAGGGTACCACTGGAGGGGCCTAGACTGAGTCACAACCAAAACCTGGCACTGAAGAAGCATACCCAACACCATGTAAAGAAACGAAAGGCCATGATTCCCCCACACGTCACCCTAAACCAGGTTGCCTCTAAAACAATGAAACCACTTGCCCCCCCAAACCCCTAGGTTGGTCAAGTTCTTCCGTTCGGCCATAACCTTTTTCCAGGTGCCAAGTCATCCTTTTTGGTGGTTGTCCCTTCTGGTTCTTTCCATGGAAAGGAGCTTCTGATCATCTCACACATGCCGGGGGGAAAGTAGATGGCGCGAAATCCTTTCTGTCAGCAAGTGAGGGGGCGATTGCAGCGAAAATGGGTTGGAATTGCCGTCTGCGTTCCCCAAACTGCAAACTCTGTCTGGAGAAAGCCCCACTGAACAACACAAACTTGCCTTTTTTTGGCTGCGGGGAAGGGGCTGTGACCCCCGGCAAGCAAAGTCCCTGTTGCTGTTTCCCAAACAGCTGAAGCCGAAAGATGCAACGAAAGCAGCAATCAAGTTCGAAGGGGACACGCAAATGACCCCCCCTCTCTCGGTGAACCATGCGGTCCGCCAAGCCAACCGCTGCCTCCCTTCGCTTAAGCCACCTGGCAAAATGAGAAAATACGTCCAATCATTACAAGCTTCCCTTTAAAACCAAGGGAAAAGCATAAAACAACTTCCTTTCAGCCAATGGAAGGCTCGAGTCGCGCCTGGTACTGCTGCAGGCCCCAGTCCTGCACCCAAGTGGCGATGTTGTTCTCCGCCCAGTCCTGGCTTAAAAGGCTTGCTGGTGCGATAGGTAGGCCCGGTGTTGGGAATGAAACAATTAGGGATTCCCTATTCTTGGGGATTCCCTATTATCTTGAAGTCCAAGAACTCAGGACGTGAGTAGTGGATACATTGAAATTTGATACCCCGGTTTCCCTTGCTGGGCATGGGGCATGTAGTGGTGTGACTACTTGGAGGTTGTCACTTCCGACAAGCATAGCCTGGTGCGCAAATCCACTATCCAACAGTGGTAGACAATTAAGTGAGTCACTGGTGCGAAATGAGGGGTTTCCGGGCCATGTTCCTTGCGAGTTGGCTGGGGTCGATTTCTTCGGAAACATTGGGGGCGATGTGGATTCTATGAGCGCCTGACAGAACTACCCGGTTGACTCAGCAGCCGCCATTTCTGGGGCTAGACAGGCGGCAAGTAGCATGCAAAACACGGGGTATCCCCTAGTTTGTAATGGGTATGTAACTGATTCCGAAATTTGAAGCAAAAACCAAGCATACTAAGTAAACTTGCTGGTTCTCAGCTCCTATGATTTGCTTGAAGGGAATCCCCAGGATCATTCCCAGCACCCTGAAGGTCATTCCCTACTTATCGCACCAGCAAGTAAAAGCAGGGGTTGAGATGGAGTGGCTCGGGTTCAACAAAAAGGCAAGGCATAATCAACAGGTTGGGGTGGACAAAAAAGCGAGGCCCATGAATTATCGGCATTGTCATCGAGGAGCTGTGGGTCCGCCACTGCAGAATGAAGGGATCCACCCAGTTGCAACCAGTGACCTGAACGGTTTTGGGGGAGACCACAGATAGAGGCAAACCAGCAAACAGGGAACGAGTTCAACAAAACGGCAGCCCTTTACATAAGTCTTCAAACATGCAGGCTGCACATAGATGTCTACAAATATGCAAACTCGCCTTAACGAGCATGGTGGTGGAAAATCGTAGATGCCTGCATCATCCTCACTCCTCCTCCTCTATCACCCTCTATTCCTGGAAGAGATATTCTGGGTACACATCGTGGCCTCAATGCTTATACCGGTAAGCCACAAGAAAAGGGCAGAGAAAGGCAAGCCGCATTCACCGAAATTCACCGCGTTGTTGCCCTATGTCCATCTGCAAATTTAGAGTAATTCCCAAAGCTGAGTCAAAGGCTCCATTTTGGGCTGGATGAACATCCATTTGCCGCCCATTTTGATGTTCACCAGGGGTACAGGGTTTTGACCCCCAAAGCCATCTAGCTGTGAAATACGTGTTTTTTACCCACCTGGAAGAGATGTGGTTTCAACAAGATCTACAATTTTTGTGTCCGGCGGGAAAGTGCATGGACCCTGAAAGTGAAAGCAAATGTCACATGCCAGGCTCGCAGGGACTCGCGATGGAGCTGCCGGTGCCGGGGGCGGCGGGGGCGGCGGTGGAGGCGGGGGCGGCTGCAAGGGAGGCGCATCCTGGCGTCAAAACGAGTCGCGGGCGAGGTGTGTCCGCTTTAAACGTCGCCAAAGGACAAATGAGCTTGGCCCAAAAGGTGATGCTTAAAACTGAAACGCACTGTGGATGGACGAAATCCACTTCGCACCACCTAAGAAACCATGGAATGATGTTTCCTCTGCACATGCCAACGAACAATAGTTTTCGTTGGTCTCAAAGTAGCGCGAAATGGGTTCTGGCCATCCACAGTATGATTCACAAATCTGAAAGTACCCCAAAGTAAGGGACCTTCATCTTGAGCTCGTGTTATCTTACTTTGTCCAGGGTTGCCAATCCCCACCTCCTACCCTGAGATATAAATTTTTGGCTGCTGTTCGCGTTGGTGGTTTGGACTCCGGTTGGGTCAAGGACCCAGACAATCGGCAGTAAAGCCCTTGGCCCATGTTCACTCACCCCGGTACCTCCTCAGAACCAGCACGTGCCAAGTAGCCAGGTGGGAAAACACCCACCCCGCAGTCTTTCGTGCAAGAGGACAAACACATTGTCTTCCCGCCTCTTGCTCTAGACTGGCTTGTTGACTTGTAGGATGTGCGTAAAACATGTCCGCCAACAAGGGTCGACCAATCTAAGCTGCTACCCCTTTCGACCTCAGCTTTTGCCCCGGCCAAAAAATGCATTCTTGGACTCTAGTCCATGTTGGAAAAACTTAAGTTGACTGGTCGCTAAAAAACATGTGATCGTGGTCGTGACTCCATCATTTCTTAGCTGCCTCAGCTCTTTTCCAACCAAAGACCAGCCCAGATTCTGGTCCATGGTGAGCGAACCAGAAAAAGTCATTTCTGAAACGACCCAACTTCTGACATCTGGGCAGCGCTGAAACCCATTCAGTCGTTCAAAGCGCAAAGATCCAACCAAATAGCCACAAGAAAAATAAGTCAGGAACTGGAGAAGAATTCCCTTGCCAGGAACCTTCATGACTATCCTCGCTCGATGCTCTTGTTTGAACGTGTGCAGGTGCACGCGTGTTTCCAAATGCACTCAAGTCACCCGAAATGTGGCTGCCGAATGGCTTGCTAATGATCCTCCGAACGGAGCTTTCATTGGTTTAAAATATGTCCCTACAGCAAAACAAAGGCGACCAAGAATTAACAAGCAACATGTCCAGTCATGACAAGCAGTCGACCAAACACTGAAGTCGTGGAAAGCTAAATCAAGCATTAGAGTTGCTCGCGTTCGACCCGGACGGTTCAAGTTTGAGTCTCTGGCGACACGGTTCAAGTTAAGAGAACAACATGGTCTTCCAAGACCCTCTCAAATTCCATAATTCTGGATTCCAGACAAATACGAAGCAACGACATCCAACCACCCGAAAGGCAACATAAAATGTCAGGCGTCCCCTGATTCCCTTGCTTGCGATACTACTTGGCAAGTTACTCACCCGAATTCCGAGAAGGAGGGTGCCCTATATCTCCCCTTTCAACATCTCCACGTCCGCAAACTCCGGCTAATTTGGCAACCAACAGGCGATGCTGAAACCCATTCGAGGGGAATGGGGCCCCAGTCTTGGTGCTTTGGATTGGTGCCCATGGAGGGATCCATAGGCTCCGGACCTCCGGGATCCCGGATGCCGACGGCTTCTTCCACCCCGAACGAGGCCCCGGGCCAGATAGGCCGAAACCCGCGGCGTGGCGGCCAGGTAGGCGCTGCCATTGGGGTCTGAGCCGCTCGACGTGTAAATCCAAAAGAGCCATGGGTTAACCCCACAATTTGCTGGTGGTAGGGAATGATCCAAGGGAATGAACCTAGAGATTCCCAGGGAAACCACAGAGAATGGTTTATAGAAAACCGACCGGCCAAATAATATCTACCAAGAAGAGGGTGGCCTTTAAACGAATACGAGACCAACTAGGGGGGGAAATCGAAACAAAGCCAGGCCAGGCGTCACCCCTCGCACAGATGCCTTTCTGGGTTGCCGACTCGAATCAGCCTGCTGGACTAAGATGTTTCTGAAGGATCCTTTCAATAGGACCATCCCCCCCAATAGCTCAGTGGATATCTATCCTTGGATTCCAAGATTCGCAGTGCAAATAAGTGGCCGAATTCATGTGAAACTTGGCCCAAGAAATGCGGCTGTGGGTCAAAACCAATTGTACCATTTTGGGGTAGGTGCACCACATTGCACCACCCTTTAGTAGGGATTGGGATGTTCACTGGCGGTACGGGATTTTGACCCATGGTTATATTGCCAAGGCCACCCTGACCCATGTCCCGCTTCCTTTTCCGAACGCCCCTGTCTGGTGCGTGTTTTAACCGGAAACCAAAGGGACAGTCGTCACCGCTGAGACTGCAAAAGGAGCCGCGCTTTTGAAAATGGAATCGCGAAAACCCATTCTCGGAACCTAAATATTGCAAGTAAGAGAACACTTGAAAACCCGCTGACTCGCAGTCATTTGCCACGGCTAGTGGCTTTAGTGTGGTTGTTTTCACTAGCCAAATGGGATCTCGGCATCCCCGTATTGCCCTAGTTTTAGACACCCAGTTCTTTAGTGGCAGCCTCTAAATCCTTTTGGCGGGTCTCGAGTACAAGACTTGTACAAGCCAACCAAAAAAGGGTCCAAATTCCTTTTATAGCGTTCGGGTCACTTGCAATGATCCCCTGCTAAAAGTTCAACTTTTAGTGGGTTAAATCGACACCCCCCCAAAAAACAACAACAACAACAAACAAACACAAAAAACATCTAGAAACCTAGGGGACGACTGGGACCCGCCAAGTTAAAGGGAATCCCCCGACCCCGCTGAGAAATTCGGGGCACAAGTGCACCACAGGTCTCAGTGTCAGGCTCCACAGCTCCGAAGGATCGATGCCTGCACCGCATGGGTTGCATGTGCCAACTTCCGGGGCTGTTGCAGGGGCCTAAATGACTAGCAAATTTCTAGGGGTTGATTCCCCATTCTTTTCAACCATCGTTCTTTTCAAACACCAGCCGTTTCCCTGGGATTTTGATGGTTTCCTGAAAAGAAGGATCCCTGAAAAGAATGGGGGAAGGTACCCCTAAAAAGTAGTTGTGGGGCATGTTTGCCGCCAAACATAGGCATGAACACCTGCAACTCTCAAAATACGTTCAAAACCTGAAATCACAATTGGATCCACGAGTAACGCCTCTCTATTATGGACCATTTTACTCCCCTGACTAACGTGAAACCCCAAACAAAGCTCGCAGTCCTTGATCCTTGGCCTCTATTGGCTCCGATCGTAGGTTGCAATGTCTCTCCTTGCGCCGAAATCTGGAGGTTCTTTTTTGCAGTCTGTCTTTTCCCTAGAGGACCTCAAAATGGTGGTTTTCCCTTTGGATGTCCGTTAAATTCACAAAGAAAGGTACCCTCCGGAAAAGGAAAACACACACACACACATACAAATTCTCATAGGATGGAGGGCAATTGCTTGCAATTGCTTCAGCTTGTTTTAGCAGTTGCTTGGCTTCAAAACCCTCCAAGCTTCCTGGGAAAAACGGGCCGGCCGTGTCTTGGCCCAACGGAGTGCAACAAAGAAACCGTCAGATTCTGGGATGAGAGGCTGAGTCTGTGCGGATCCACCCCGCGTACCCCCCAAGTGACACCAAGCTCCCCTGCTAAAAGTGACTCACTTTTAGTGGTTCAATACGGAAAACCCATTCGTTGGGAAAAAGCTAAAGTCCGAACATCCCTTGGCAAAATGCACCAAAGGTTTGGGGGGCAGTCACACCTTTTTCATGGGCCATCCTTCGGATCACTTCCGAACCAGGGGATTGGCTGAAAGCAGCTCCCACGCTTGCTGTTTGCCGCTAACATGCTCCAAACCCCAAAAGTTTAAAGTTCAGGAACGCGGGGAGTGAGTTGGCTCTTTTTGACTCTTGAAGGTGTCTTCATTGATTCAACACTTACGGCCTGAGTACAGCCACCAGCCAACTCATTCTCGGGGGGTCTGACAGACCTATT